CCTATAGCGAATTCTAAAAGGTTCCTCCTCACGGAAGATGTGCTTTGGCCTACTAAACCTCCACATCCTTGGTTGCCTGTCTTGTAATTCATAACTAGTCTTAATTACAAATAAGCAATTTTGTAATAACAGAATTATTTTGTTTTTACAAATTAGTAATTATGAAAATCTAATCATGATTTATTTATACAGCAAAATTACACACCGTAAAGTAATTTTATGTTTACATTTACTTACATGCTGGAGTGATTTTACAGCTATTTTACAACGCAAAATGTAATATTTTGCGTTATTACATTTTGCGTCGAGTAAAAGATTTAATAATACATTTTTGGATTATAACATTTTGCGTCTAGAATAATATAGAATGTAATAACGCAAAATGCAATGACAAACTTTTTGGATTGTTACATTATGCGTCGAAATCAACGTAGAATGTAATATCTATATAAAAGGTTATACTGGCTTTTTTCCACAAATAATGCACTTTGTATAGAAATTGGGAATGCATTTGCTAACAACAACGTGTTCTTTATGCAAATTTAACTTTCCTATCCAAAATATTCATTCCGGTCGATATATGTTTTGCTTTGACCCGCAGGCAAAATATATTAAAACAAAATGTAACCTTTGTTAGTTGCCATAACATAAAGATAGCCATATCTCGGTCTTGGAAGTTTTTCTTGTTTTGAATCATTGTTATTATACTTCAAAATATTTTAAGATAAAGCAAATGGGATTTAATTTTATTTATACAGCTGATAGTTTTATGTTTAAGTATTAAGTTTCTGTAATGTTGTAACATGTTTAACTTGTTGCGCCTCGGGAATTGGTTTTTCCCTGACTTTGGAGAGATATGTTTTGACCTCTAGTGACACAAGAAGCTATTTCAATTGGCGTCAATACAGTTTGTGTAAATTTCGACACAGAATGTCAGGAATGCAAAATGTGAATATATTCATAGTTTTGAAAGACCATACAATATTGAAAAAAAAATTTGAAACCACCAAATATGATTAAATCGGTCAAAAATGGTTTTTAATTTTTAAAATAAAAACCATAGAGTGTGTTATTGCATTCTGCCTAAACCTCAACACAAAATGTAATGACGCAAAATATAATTATTCAAAAAGTGTAATTACATTTTGCATTTTTACATTCTGCGTTGATCTGTTTCTTTTAAATTCCTCCTGTAACGAAAAATAAATATAGTTACTTTTATGAAGATAAATTAATAAGTAATCACTGTCAATCCGTCTATTATCTTTTTTTCGCTTTTTTCTAATATTTCGCTTTTTTCTTTAAAATTCTTCTTTTAAATTCATTTCTTTTCTTTTGGTGTACGACGTACCCTTGACTATAGTAGAAGGGATGGAAACAACAGCAAGCAGATATCTGAGGAGATGGCTGGGGGTACCAAGAAGTTTCAGCAGCGTTGGTTTATATAGCTCTGGGACAAAGCTACAGTTACCTCTTAAGTCTATTACTGAGGAATTCAAGGTGACAAAAGTGCGTCAACATTTAATGTTACAGAATAGCAAGGATGAGAAGGTACGGGCAGCGAAGGTAGAAATTAGGACAGGGAGAAAGTGGTCAGTAAAGGAAACTAAAGAGGAAGCAGAATCCCGCTTGAGAATCAATGATATAATTGGAGGACAGGCAATAGGAAGACAAGGGCTTGATGTCACACCAACAGCAAGATGGGGGACAGCTTCAGTAAAGTACAATGGAGGAAGATTCAAGAATGGTGAAAGCAGTTGGAATGAAGAAACAAGGTAGCTGGTTGAACTGGGAGAATACACGCCAGGTGAAGATGGGATGGAAAGATATTTGGAAGATGACTCATTCAGACTTCAATTTAAGCTGAAATCAGTTTACGATGTTTTTCCCAGCCCAACTAATCTTGTAACATGGGGAGTGACAGATGATCCAAAGTGTGCCCTCTGTAGTAAACCAGCAAACTTGGAGCATATATTATCAGCATGCTCACAGGCTTTGAAAGATGGGAGATACACTTGGAGACATGATAAAGTTCTAGCCAGTATAGCTGACACCTTGGAGAAAAGTATTTAAAAAAAAAACAAGGAAAAACAGAGAGGGCCTGAGATTTGTCAGCTTTGTGAAAGAAGGTGAAAAAGGGCATAAAGTTAGTGTGGAAGGAAGTGGTCTGCTGGGGACAGCAACAGATTGGCAGATGCGGGCAGACCTCAAGAAAAGATTGGAATTTCCATCTGAGATAACAGCTACAAACAAGAGGCCTGACATAGTTATCTGGTCAGTGTGAACAAAACAGACAATTCTTATGGAATTAACAGTACCATGGGAAGGCAGAATGGAGAATGCACATGAGAGGAAAAACCTGAAGTACCAGGAACTAGTGACGGATTGTCAACAAAATGGATGGAAGGTCTGGTTTTTCGCAGTTGAAGTGGGATGTAGAGGTTGTGGGACAGTCTATGTGGAGGGCACTGAGAGTCATTGGCATTACTGGAGCAGAGAGAAGGAGATTGATAGGGAGTCTGTGTAGGGAGGCAGAGTCAGCATCTATGTGGTTGTGGAGAAGAAGGGCAGATAAGTGGAAAGACAGTTAAAATACAGCAGTTATATAGACAGTAAAATAGAACAGCAGTGATGTAAAGCCAAGTGGTTCCGGGCTGGGACCTGATCACCCCATTCGGCGCACCTCTGGAGGCTGTAGTGGACAGCGCCGAAACAGCTGATGAAGGAGGATCCACCTGAAGACGGAACCACGCATCTTTTCACCAGGATGTATACAAGTAAAAGTAAAATGTGAGTACATGTATAGGGTAAAATGACAGCTCAACACAATTATGAAATTCTGCAGTCATACAAATGATAACAATAAATAATTGTCTGAATTGATGATTACTGCAAGACACCAAGAAAATACACTCTCAATGAAAATGGTGAGGATAACGAACAAATGATGAAAGTGGTGAAGATAACGAAAAATTCAAACAATACAAATCTGTGAACACAGTTTCTACATCAAATGGCCAAGCTCTACCAAATGAATAGATTTTACATTCCTAGGTTTGGCATAAGACTGGCTCTATGTATGCAAGGTAGTATATGCTTATTCACCAATCAAAGCTTTCAGGGGGCATGTATATTATGAGCACAATATGAAATACAAATATGTCGTCAAGCAAAACACCAGAGGGCTTACAATAATAAAGTAAGGAGACATTAACATAATGTTGCAAAAATATGAAAAGCTTATCTTTTCACAATGTTCAGGAATTGAATCATGAAAATACACATATGTCATTACGAGGGCTGTTCGGAAATTATTGAGACATTTTGTACATTTTTCTTTCTAATGAACGTCTTTCGGTGAAATTTGCAAACATTAAGAATTCATAAAAGCAAGAAATATTTTACAAATATTATATTTCTTCTCTTTAATGGTATATAAATGTGTCAGTGGTAGGGGTACCCGACGCAGTCACGAAATCAGATATTGAAAATATGTAACACCAATGTTTAGCACCCCGGTGGATCAATAATAAGAGCGAAAATAATTCAATTTATGTATATATTTTTTTAATTTTATTTTGACTTCATGTTGTGCAAGTTTGTTAGAATTCTGATCAGAAATGCGGAGATCATTAAAAAAATTAAGCGCGGAAAAGAAATGACGACAAAATGGATTTTGACGTCAAGGCGAAGCAGCGAGATACCTAAATTTTGTGTAGCGCTATGTAAAACTCCTTTCCAGACTGACCAACCTGCTAAAACAATAACAAAGAGAAAAAAACATGTCTAAGGGTTTGTTACATGTATTTCATTGGTATATATTTTTTCTAACCTATAATTCAACTACAGTAAAATCAAAAGCTCCGGACGACCATCAATTTTTACCGTAACGGAATTAATAACGTTGACCCGCGTTGCATAAATCGGCACTGCATGATGCTAAGTCATCCTGTATAAATGACGCATGAAAAATTTACAATAGTGAAACATTTACATGTGAAACAGCAAGAATCGTGTAAGAAAAAAGAAACAGTTTGATTTTTGTAGTGTATATAATTATGATAACACAGAAAGAAGAGTAAACGCTTCCCGATCGTTTCACATGCAAAATCATCTCCGGCTGACGTGACGTTAAAATGACGTAGCGATGCTGCTCCAGGTCGATAGACATATGCATGTTTATTATTTCACCGGAACTTATCTAGGTATCCTTTAAATTAGAAATTTTGTATAATTGTATTATTCGTTCTTTATGAAATGTTGACGAATTTTACTGAAATTATCTTTGCCCTTTATGGAGTTAAAGTAATTGTCTCAATAATTTTCGAACAACCCTCGTAAGATGTAAAACACCACAGTCCTGAGTTACAATAAATAAGTTATAATTATAACTCGTATAAAGATTCCACTAGGCAGGTATCAACGCCTGTAACTTGTTTTCATGAACTCTCCTTTTCTTTCTCAAAGCTTTTGTATTTAACACAAAAGATTTGTGGAGAGAGAGAGAGAGAGAGAGAGAGGGAGCTAGATACAAATCTTGTGTGTCACATTTAAAAGCTTTCAGAAAGAAAAGGAAATCTATCTAGAGCATGTGTTTATGTACCCTCCTCCCTCTTCCAATTTATTCTTGCCACTCATATTTTCCTTTTTATCCTCTTGCCTTTCGCCCCCCCCTCATTTTCCGCCTCTGTTCCTGCTGCTAGCCCCCTTTTTCACCCTCTGTGATATCCAATATTATTACATCGAATGCTTTTAAATTATTGGAATTCCCCTTTCCTATCTTTATAAAATTTAGCATTCTGAAATCTGCCTTGTGAAGAAGGACCCGGGAGGAAAATGCAGCGATTGAACATTTGTACAAATTTTAGGATCTCCCCCTATATACCATAACAAGACTCCTTCAAATAACTTTGAAAGATTGAATGAACTTTGCTATTTTTAACCCCCCATTTAGCCTGGGAATTAATTGGGGGAATTCCAAAATGGGGAATCCCTTATCGAAATGTGATGACGATCGATGGACTTTAATTTACCTCATGTTCAGTTTCAATGAAAATCGTATCCAGACGTAGACAGAGGATCCTTTTAGAGGTATTACTTAAAGCACTACACATATTTTTTACGTTTCTGAAAATAATAAAACACTTGTCACTATTAATGGACTCGTAATTTATATTTAGCACCGACTGGCATGGCTGACGAAAACCAACAAATTCAGTCCGTTTTAATGATGCTTGTGGTAAGTTTATTGTGCATATTGAGATTAATCTGGTGAACAGTTTTCATGCATATACTTATCGGATCATGTAAAGTCATTCTTCAGGTTAGGAAGGAAACAAGGGAGCCTTGAAAGGAACGTCACGTGATTATTTTATTTAAAACCTTAATATTTACCGCCACTAGATATAAATACATGTGCATTAGAATTATAATATAATTCCCTGAGATTGATTTACTGCATGTTTTATTTTCCTTTTCATTACAATTGTAGAATTTGTCAAATCGTTTTGAAAAGAATGAAAGTCGTTCTGAAAAGTTAGAGAGTCTTTTTGAAAATTTTGAAACTGTATTAAAAGAAGAAATTGCCCAACTTGGAAAAAGACAAAGGATGCAAGATGAATGGACCCAAACCACAGATGGTTTAGAATCTAGAACACTGGCAGAAGGGACGCCCATCGATGTCAAGAAAACTGAAAAAGGTTCCAGTGCAGGTAGAAGAGTTGTATAATATACTGCAAAGTTCTTCGAATTGTATTTATAAGTTATGATGTGTGAAATTAAATTAAATTTTTGAATTTTGAACTACAAGGCAACCCCACTATTTTAAATTGTACTATTACTAACGTATTTGAGAAATGTTTTGAACATAAAACGTAAATCCTATGTTACTTTACAATTTACACATATAATCTTAATCCCATTTATTTACTTTACTCACATAATTAATGTAAATCCCATTTAATTTACTCACATTCTGGCGTAAGCTAAATCCCATTTATTTTACACAAATAATCTAAATTGCATTTGCTTTACTCACAAAATCTGATTTCTTTACACACATAATTTTAATCCCATTTATATTAAGAAAATTTACACTCGTACGATAGATTAAAAATACACTTGATAAACGTTCGTAGCAATTTTATGTACATAGTCATTTACATGGGCATATCAATAAGACATAAAATTATCAAAACATGGAACAGTTATGCAAGCAAAATGCCTTTATTTTTGTAAAATCTACTATTTGTTTATAATTGAGTTTCAGCACAGTCTTTCTTTTTTCTTAATAGGGCATTGCAAATGAAAAAGACGTCTACAAAAATAACTGTCATGAGATTTGTTTAAATTTTTTTTTAGGATTTTTACTTGCATGTGGAAAATTTCTTTAAATAATATATTTTCATTTTCCAAACTCATAAGTGACTTCCTTGATAGGCCACTCCTGTTCATAAACCTTGCCAAAACCACGCGATAATTGCATCTGTTGCAGACCCGTCCAAGTCAGGTCGAGATAAGCTTATTTTTTAAAGTCCATTCTAACGTAACTATATATAGGCCCTTCCTGGACCATACTTTCTAGGGATGGACACTACCAGAATTGCTTCGGATGTTGGATCTAACCTACATTTTCCAAATGAGTGACCAGGGTAAAGTTTTTGGAGCAAGTCTATTCCCAAGAAACTATAAGCCCTACCTGGACCAAACTTGCATGGATGATGCATCTAAGGATGGACGCTACCAGACTTGCTTTGATTGTTTGATTGTATGTTGTTTTACGTCCCATTCGAGAATTTTTCACTCATATAGAGACGTCACCATATACTGGTGAAGGGATTCAAATTTAGACCTTTACTCGGCACTCGGGGCTATTGAGGAATAAGGGATCTATATCGTGCCAACGCCTGCCGTGACACGGGGCCTCGGTTTTTAAGGTCTCATCCGAAGGACCCGCAACTTTCACTTCAAAGTGCCGAGTGCATGGCGAAGGAACAGTTGCTACCCATTTTTTATCGACTTAGGCCAGTCGTGGCCAAGATTCGAACTCACGTCCTTCCGATCACGGAGTCTACCGACTGAGCTACCGTGAACGGTGTCTTGCTTTGAATGACTGGATCTGACCTACAAGTGAACAGATTAATGTTTTTGGAGCAGGTCCATTCCAAAGTAACTGTAAGCCCTACCTGGACAAATTACCATGGACAATGCATCTAGGGAAGAACACTACCAGTCTTGCTTCTAATGCGTGATTTGACCTACATTTTCCAGGTGAATTGCATGATTAAAGTTTTAGGAGTTAGCCCATTCCCAAGTAACTAAAAGGCCTTCCAGAACCAAACTTGCATGGATGATACATCTAGAGATGATCTCTATCTGACATGCTTCAGATGCTTGATCTGACCTACATTTTCCAGATGAAGGAATAATCCTATCTAAACCAAACTACCATGGACAATGCATCTAGGGATGGACATACAAGATTTACTTCCGATGCTGGATCTGAGCAACAATTTTCAGATGAGTGAATAGGTTTATCTTAATAGAACAAGTCCATTCCCAACTATAACTATAGACCTACCTGGAACAACCTTGCGTTGATGATGCATATAGGGATGGAACTACATGTACCAACTTGCTCTGGTTACTAGATTTGACCTACATTTTCCAGATGAATGACCAGGGTAATGCTTTTGGAGTTGGTCTGTAACTATATGTTATGTAACTACTAGTATTATGTCAACAACTTGCCTCATTTTAGAAATTGTTCATATATAGAGCATGCTCTTGCGTATCTTATCAACTGGGAGAAAAACTCCATAAATTATGCATGTGATAATGTTATATTGCTACATAAATAAGGGAAGTTGACCATAAAAAAGTCATCACGTCATAAAGTTTTGTTGTTAGACTACCATTAACGTCTTTTTCTAGTAAAATATCCAAATTTGAAAGCATATGTGTCAGACTCCTCTGTGGTATCTTTATTTAAGAATCGCATAAGAAATTTAAAAGGTAATAGTATGCAAGCCATCTATCCTTCCGTTTTCACTAAATCGGAGGTGATCAAAGAAAGACTACATAAACAATATTTTATGGTTCCAGTCGACAAGGCTAGTGACAATATCGCCTTTGTCTGCAAGATTCATATAATAATATTATATTTGTCTGCAAGACTCATATAATAATATTATATTATTATTTTAAAAGAAGTTAGTTTTAATTCTACTTGTGGAAATCTAACTTAAACTCGCAGTTAACTTTCTAAAGATAAAATTCTTCATAATCACATTTCAGATTTAGAACTTTTAACATTCCAGTCAACCAAGGTGAGTTCGATCTACCCTACCTATGTTGGATTCCTGAACTTCATAAAAATCCTTACAAAAACAGAAACATTGCGGGGTCAAGCAAATGCTCTCCTAAGCCCCTATTCTTATCTTTTGATACCAAAACGTTATCTGCTGTTAAGAAGAAACTTCAGACGTACTGTGCAACAGCATATTCTAGAATTGGTGTAAATCAGATGTGGATTCTCAAAAACTCGATCAAAAGAACTTTTAAAAACTTTAAATCGCCATTTTTTTTTTCAAAAGTCAGTTACGTCAAACCATACGACTTTTCTACACTTAATACAACCATTCCTCACGATAAATTATAGACTAAACTTTTTAAAATCATAGATAACTGCTTTTTCAATAAAAATGGAAGTCGGAAATTTTCCTATCTTATGATTTGTCATCAACTTTGTTGAAAATCACTCTGATTCTACATACAAGTAAATGTACTCTGAAGTTGATATTAAAAGGATCCTGGAGTTCCTCATTTACAACTTATGTCTTCGGCGACCAGGTCTTCCGACAAACTGTTGGAATTAAGATGGGCACTTATACTGCTCCTTTATTAACTGACCTATTTTTATATTCCTATGAGGCAGAATTTATTCAAAAACTTCTATATCAGAAGAAAAAACACTTGCTGTGGCCTTCAACTCGACATTTACGGGTATAAGTTTGATTACCACTTGTAGAATTAAATCCCAGCTCCTCTAAAATACCATTTAAACAAGTAAATTCAAAGAATTGTGGCCTCTGCTTTCGGTGTCTTAGTGGTTGGGATGCAACTATATCAATGTAAGTTAAACTTAGAGGTCGAGGTCACGAGGTCAAAAGCAGAGAACAATCGGAAAGGTCTTGAAACAGGTACTGCACATGTCAAATACAAATGTCCTATCTTCTGCCTTTCAAAAGTTATCAGCAATATTAAAATTGTTAAAAATTAGGTCAAACTTCAAGGACAAGGGATTAAAAATCATGGTGCATTTGGAAAGATCTTCTCACAGGTAATGCACATGTCAAATATGAATGCCTTATCCTCTTTCTTTCAAATGTTATCATGTTATCACCGTCACGGTAGCTCAGTCGGTAGAGCGCTCGCTCCGTGATTGGACGTCCCGCGAAAAGACGACCCCAAACGAGACCGCCAACATCCTCGCCCCGTCAACCCGTTTGTCAATAGCTTGCTTCGCTTCAGAAACTGTCCACACGCAGAGCACGCCCTTGCGAATCAAATCAACTGAGAGACACATAAACCCCACAGGCAGGCGATAAGGATATACCGCTACACAAGCAAGGGAAGCCGAAGATTGAAAGGTTGAGGTCATCACGTCCATCATAAAGCTCTGTTGTCAGGTTACCATCAACGTCTTTCTCTAGCAAAATATCTAAATGTGAAACAGATGTGTCAGAATCTCTGGTATCTTTTATTTCAAGATCACTGGGATATATTGAGTCGACATATGAATGAGAATAACTATTGTTAATTGATAATACGTCGTCGATATATTGAAATGTCGAGTTGAAGACCACAGCAAGTGTTATCTTCTTATCTTGTAGAAGTTTTTGAATAAATTCTGCTTCATATGAATACAAAAATAGGTCTGCTAATAAGGGGGCGCTAGCAACTGTTCCTTTGCCAAGCGCTATAGGCACTTTGAAGTGAAAGTTGCGGGTCCTTCGGATGAGACCCTAAAAACCGAGGCCCCGTGTCACGACAGGCGTTGGCGCGATAAAGGTCCATCACTATTCAATGGCCCCGAGTGCCGTGTAAAGGACTGAATTTGAAGCCCTTCACCGATATATCCTGACGTACGTCTCTATATGAGCGAAAAATTCTCAAATGGGACGTAAAACAAGCAGCATCTCTTCTCAATCAAAAGTTATGACCACGGTAAAAGTAATGTTAATTTTTTTTGAAAAGTATGTGAAACTTCAAGGTCAAGATGTCAAAAATTTTAAAATATTTGGAAAGGTCTTTGTCATAGATATTGTGCATATGAAATATTAAAGCCCTGTCTTTTCTCATTCAAAAGTTATGACAAAGGTTAAAGTTTTTGTGACAGACTGACAGACGAATGAGATTTAATGTCCCCTCATTTTCCCGAAAACGGGGGGGGGGGGATGAAACTTACAAAGACAATGTTGTTAACTGCTTTTTCAGCTAGGACCAGTACAAACTGATCGTGTAATCTAATTCTTTTTTCACTTGTGAATTATTGAAGACATGCAGAAAGATAGATTGTTTTCGCCCCTCAATCGCTTAATGCGAGATTTCTACATCCATCTGATACTTTTAATACATTCTGGCAAAGTTACAAGGTCTTCTACTTCATGTTTGGCCCATTGCCTGTCGTAATCTTCCGCAGAATTCATTATATCTACGAAATTGTGAATTTAGGCCCTTTTAAAATTAGTGATTTAAGATCCTCATTATTAACTACTCAGTATATTTGCATTACCATTAATGATGTGCCCAGCAGGACTATAGTTGTAGGATGATGATGAACATGAACAGGTTGGAGGATTATGTTTCAGATGTTCTATCATGTTGTAAATTTTGAATTTACTAGGGGGAGGTAAATGCAAAATTTATATCAAGTAAATTTTGCATTTACCTCCCCCAGTAAATTCAAAATATACAACATGATAGTTCGATGAAATTTTAGAAGTATACCTCTCTTCCTTTGTAGTTGCTTTTGAATGGAGTGGATCAGAAGACGGTATAAGTGGAACGGAAGATATTCATCGAGAATGCATCCAAGAAAATCTTCCGCAAATGTCCCATTCAATGGATTTAAAGCGCGTAGTTTTATTGGACGAACTTATTGAAAATGGTTGCCTTACAGAAAATGAGGCTGCTGATATTCGAGATTGTGAAAAACGAAAAGATCGAACGAGAAAGCTTGCGATCATCATGGGTAAGCGAAGTCGAGAAAAATTTAGTTCATTTTTGGAGGTATTAAAAAGGGCAGAAAACTATCCACATGTTGCAGAGCAACTGGAAAATTCATATAAAGCTAAAATTGAGGAGGGTAGAAGAAAACGGGAATGTGTTCTATGTTACATCATTCGCAATGTTAACATCCGACACATTATTGATACCCTCTGTTCCCAGTTTGTTGTTAGTTTGGAATTTCTGGACGAAGTCATTTCCTGTGAAGCTAATGATGCCGAAAAAATGCAACGCTATTGGAAGCGTTTATTTGAGCAAATGAATACCTCAGTGTATGCAAGTAGACATCGGAAAGCTTTCAAGGAATCCCTCCGAGAAAAGTACGAGCACATTGCCAAAAAGATATCGGTGAAGAATCAAATCAAGTGTAGATGTAATGCCACCGAAACTAACAGAGTCATTCGAGTTGAAAGTATGTCTTGGCCAAGTGGTAGCCTCACAACAGAGGGGAAGAGCACAACCTCAACAGCAGCTAGACCAAAATCTCACTTGAGTGCAGTCAGCACCATATCCGAAAATGTCTCGGACATAAGCAACGACGGGTATGCTGGAAATATTCCACGCACCGTTGAATGGGTCAGTAACTTGGAGGTTGAGGTTGAGTCAACAGAAAATAACTTTACAAGCATCCAGAGAGCCCAACCATCATACTCTGAAATTGTTAAGACTCAAAGTGGAGTTGGTGATGCACTGTGTTCCTCAATGTTACAGGATCAAAACACTTCCCTCTTGGCTATAGGTGACGATCTTCTCCTGCAGGCAGGAATAAATGAAAGTATGAAAGAAAAATACAACCAACATCTCACTTCTTTCGTTGTTAGCTCCAAGGATGATAAACATTTACTTGTCAACCAAACAGAAACAGAAAGAAAAGAAACAAAATCCTCCAAGAAGAAAAGGAAAAAACGAAAAAGGGCGCAATCCGAACCAAGCCCAACTTTACCTACTGATGAATATAAAATTAACATAAGCCAAAGACTATCTCTGTCTCAAGACTCAACTAAGAGCGAGCGCACAATAGTGCATCATCTGTTTGACAACATTCCAACCATTGGCATCACAGATGATAGCTCCGAAAAGCTTGGTTTAGAAACCTCATTAGAACAATGGCCACTCGAGAGCCCTAAAGTATTGACATCCCCTAGACAAATAACTCCACTCGTAAAGGTTGGGTGCTCTGATAAAGGGAAAAATGATAAATGTAAGAAGAAAAAGAAGACAAATCTCTAGCCCCAATTTCCTTTATAAGGTTCGTCTTGAAAAACTCAAGCTATGAGGAAAGTCAATACAGGGCATCTGCTGTCTATGGTTTGTTTCCGTATAGAGCCATATGCAAAAGAATGACAACACGATGACACAATACGTCGTCGCGTTAACACATCTGCTGTAGGTGTGTTCGCGCGACGGCGTGTAATGTGTAAAGATGCGTTAGCATGACAGCGTGTTTTGTGTTAGCACGACTGCGTGTTTTGTTAATTAGTGCCACGGTGTGATGTGCAAAGTTGTATAAACACAACCGCTATTTTTTGTATCAGGGGGACGGCGTGTTGTGTAAATTGAATATGATGGCGTTTTGTGTTAGTGCGCTGACGTTGTGTGAAGTAGTTTTAGTTCGACGACATGCTACTGTACATAAAGTTGCGTTAGTCACACCCTATTACCGGCAAATGGGACTGTCGATGCAACTGGGACGACAGGCGGCAAAGTTTTATGTACCTGAATTTTATCAGTGTTTTTGTCAATTTATAACATTCATCAACTCATGTATGGTGGTTTCCTGAACGGCCATATTTCTTGTTGTTACTGTATGAAATAAATTTAGGCTCTTTACGACACAACTGCAAAATGTGGATAGTCTTGTGCGAAAAACAACTTTGGCGTCTGTAGTCCTAGTTGTCAGTATTAAGGTGTGTTAAAGTGCAATCTGATTAAAATCAGATCCGCGAGATCCTCGGTGCTCCTTTTTTAATGATATGTCGCTTACGAGGATCCCTTTTTTAACGCTATGTCGCTTACGAGGATCCTCGTAAGCGACACATCGTTAAAAAAGGAGCAATGAGGATCTGATTTTTTATCAGATTGTGTTAAAGTGTGTCTTTGCCACCATACCTTATCACTGAAATTGAAGCAAGTCTTGCTACGCAGGTAATAGTGAAATGGGTGAAGTCATTTAGAAGTTAATTGTGTTCTCCAGTGGGCAGAGACCATTTTAAGCACGTAGCATGTTTTTTTGGAGGGGGACCAGCTAGAAAGAGAATTAACTAAAAAAGTGTCAGGAAACAGCTTATTTTATGGGGGTAGTTTGAGTGGGGTTAGAAAACAAATTGGATGCATTCGTAGAAGGAGTTGAACTACAACAAAAGGGGAAAGAAGGGGAGGGCAGTCGTTCGGTGAACGTTTATACTTATTAAAATAAAAAAATATTCTCATACGAATGTGTGTGCCCCCCCCCCCCCCCCCCGACCCTGAATTATACTACGTACCGGAGATAAGAGCCAGAAAAGATAACGCTTATGGGAAAGCTTCTCAACATAACAAAGATTTTAAATTTGTTAGAAGCCATTGTGCTTCGCTATTCCTAAGCCCCACCCCCTCTGCTCCTAGGTCCTAGTCGCTGAGGTCAGGGTCACAGAAGGAGTACAATTTTCACATAGGAATATATTTTTTTTTTAATAGAAAAAACAAAGCTACAATTTGTAAAGCACATATTGGGCTTCAGTATACAGTAAATTAAAAATATGTCAGTATTATATTTTTGAAAACAAAGATGCCAAGTTTAGGGACATAATTTTGGGTTTAATGCATAAGTTTCAGGCGCGGATCCAGGAATTGAAGTGGGGGGGGGGGCGCAAGAAGTAGGCAGGGGGTCTGGGGTCGCCTTGAGGCCCCCAGTGGGTCCAGGGCGAAGCCCTGGTTGGGGCCCAGGGGGCGAAGCCCCCGGAAGCTCCTGGATTTTAGAGATTTTGTAGGGTAAAATGAGGTCTACCGACTAGACATTTTCATATTTTCTCAACGAAACTATGATTTACGCTTGGACAATTTGGGGGGGGGGGGCGCCCCCCCCCCTTTAAATCCGCCACTGAATTTACTAGGAACAAAAATGCAATCGAGTAAGCCCAATAACCTAACATTTTCATATGGGGAGGAAGGCAGAAAGAAGGGGAAATAGAGGAAAAAACTCCTTTAATCATAAGTGAATTTACAGGTGATTGTAAAAGGTATTCTACGGAAGTAACAAATACATGGTCCTTTCTTGGATAGTGTCTTTCACTAATTAACAATTTTCAATTGCCAATAAGTACATGACTAATTTTATGTACTCATTCAAGATTTGCAATTAGTGAAAGACAATAGTGCCAAATGTTCACAACTTTCATATATAGACATCAAGATAATGTGATGTTTATATGAATTCTTGTCTTAGCATCAAATGTAAGCATGGTAGAAATATCTTTGGATAGAATATATACATTTCATACATTACACAAACTCTCCTAGTTTGTCTCCACATGTTTATGAAACAAATCATTTTAATGTTTTCCTAAAAGGCAGCAGTCCTTAATTCATATTTCAAATCATATTTTAATAAAATTGACCGTTTAATTCTTAAACCACAATTTAAATTTTAATATTAAAATATGCAGCTTTTAAGTATATCTTCATATATACCTACATGAATGTTGTATGTTTTAGCATTTTAAGTGGGATCATATTACAATAGCTATGGTGCTGTCTTCACTGTGCTATTTCACCATCTCTATTTAAGTATATTGATAAAAGATAAATTCAAAAGCACCAATTAGTCAAACTACCTGGTAACTGTATAAATGTATTATTTTTTTTTAAAGTATATGTATATAGTAGCAGCTTATCAAATATATCTGAAAATTGAATTTCATTTGACTTATGTTCATCATCACACAATCATGTCACTTTTCTATAGAAGTAATGAGAAAACAGTATTTATGCATAGATGTGTACCTTGTTAGGTACAAAATTTTAATAAAAATATTCATCTAAACCAACAAAATAATTACATGTATAAGACTGTTTTACAACTGTACAGAATTCGGAAAATGCAAAAATTGACAAAAATTATACATATATATAAATATTAACAGTAAATATGAATGGAATTATAGACTGTCCTTTGTACTTGACATATAAGTACATTGGTAGATTCTCCTTGTTCTGGCATGAAGACCACAAAATCACCTGGAGTGGAAGGTATTATCATTAAAACATACAACAAATCTGACAGACAAAATACAATCACAGATAATAGAAGAACATTGTTAAAGTTAAGCTGAACATAGCACTACTTTGTACTGATTTACTTTTCAAGTATTTATCAAAAGTACTGCAAACACACCACACACCAGAAGTTTTACCATTCTATAGCCACTACAAACTTGCTGTTTTCTGTTTTAAGTGTACATGTATTGTGAATAAACAGTCGATTGTGAAACCTTGTGATGAACCAGGTAATTCAGGTTCACTGATGTATATACATGTACTGATATGTACCTCCATTTTATCAACTGTTCTGTTTATTTTTATACAAATGTTTAAAATGATTTTATGCTGTTAGATTAAGTATTAATTTATAATAAATTTTATGAGGAAAAAATGAACTGTTTTCTTTTGATTACTGAAAGACAGTATATGAATAAATATGAAATTTCCTGTGTCTGTCTGAAGGTATATGACTGTTCAAACTACAGGTAAATATCAAGCTAAAAGCTGGGTGTTAATGCAGCAAAAATTCAAAAATTTGCCCCCACACAGGTGAAATGAGAAAACTTGCATTGTGTGTGTGTTCATCAATCCTTCACCTGGGTCTGTATGCCAGACATATCAGTCTGTAAAACAGAAATAAAACATTTATCACAAAGAAATCACATACAGTTAAAAATCTGCATAAACATCATCAGAAAAAAACATATAAAAACTGCAGTGGAGTATCAAACTCGACTCAAATGCACATATCATCTTGGAAAATATTAAATTGTAAAAAGAAAAAAAAATGGGAGTGACAGTATACAAAATAAAGCTGATCTACATATAAAATTATTCACTGGAATTAAAAATGAGTTCCTAAAATACATAGAGAAGTTATTCTTTTTCCTCTTTCTGATCCTTCATGTCTTTCCGTGTTTTATATCCCTTGAATCCAGCCTGGATTTTAGTGGCTGCCTTTTCTACCTCTGGATCATTTAAATCAATGTCTATTTTCTCTTTACTTCCTTCCTCCTGTGTATCCTTGGATATTTTTTCCTTCATTTCCTTCCTGGTCTGGTAACCTTTGAACCCTGCCTGTATTTTCATTGCTGCTTGCTCCACTTCAGGGTCATTTAAATCAATATCTACCTTCTCCTCCTCACCTTTCTTTTCTTCCTCCTTTCCTTCCTCTTTAGACATCTGTTCCTTCACTTCCTTCCTGGTCTTGTAGCCGCGGAATCCTGCCTGGATCTTTAGAGCCGCTTCCTCCGTTTCCTTGGCTGAGAGATCTGGTTCTTTACTGGTTGTTTCCTCCTCAGATTTAGACTCGGGTTCCTTTTGATCCTAAAACAGTGGAAAAGTAGAGAAATCATATTTAAACATTGATAAAATCAACAATTAATAAAATATTTTAAATTATTTTTAAAGACTTTTATTTACATACATATAAAGAAAAAATTAAAACATTTAAATATCTGATTATTCATGACATATTTTCTTTAACAAACTAAACTTTTGAAATTGTTAAAACATGCTTCCCAATTACATTTTAATTAACTAAGAAAAAAAAGAGCACAGATAAAAACAAAAAACAAAAAAAAAAAATTGCATGCAGTCATTCGATAACATTTAGAATAATAAAAACTTAAAACAACTAAAAAAGGACAGTTTTTAAACGATAGCCTGGAAAAAAAAAATCAATATGGCAATTTTCTTCTGCACCTGAAAACAAATATGGTTACAATAACTATTAATTAAATTATACAAGTGTATTCAGCAAAGATTTCAGAAAATTAAGATTCCATATACTTCTACAGGTTTCATGCAGTTGTTAAAAAGAAATTCTGAAATATAGCACCTGTGGGTTTCATGCATTTGTTAAAAAGGCATTCTGAAACATAATAACAGTTACACAGAAATGAGGCGGGAACTCTCGTGAAAACAATTCCGATGTAGAACAAAGTTGTAAATGGGCTCAAACCTGCATAGGCTTTTTCTTAGCTTTTTTAAAGCGGCTAAATCCGGCCTGAATTTTGATGGCAGCTTTTTCGACTTCAGGATCAGTAAGATCAATGTCTACCTCCTCCTCAGATTCAGGTTTGGACACTAGAACAGGACTGCTGCTTTTTGTGGAACTGCTCTGAATGGGACAGGGGAGGAAAAATAGGAATGGGATTAAATATTTTGGGGCATTTCAATCATTTTTTTTTCAAAACATATAATTTTGATTTTCAGATTCATAAAATTATATTGGGCAGAAAGGGAGAAACCTTTTCATGTTCTGATTTTCTATCCTTGTAAGCCCTAAATCCAGTTTGAATTTTTACTCCTGCATTCGCTACTTCAGGGTCAGTTAGATCTATGTCTACTTCCTCCTCACTCTTTTCGTTGCCAGAGGTGATGACCTCTGAACTCTTTATCTGCATGTACAAGGGTCAAGGGTTACACGTATTAGTCAAGCAAGGCTGATTAGTATGGTATTGTGCTCTCCATCTTAAATATGTCATTGAGTATGTTAATCCTTGATTTTATACGTAATAGTCTTGACAGAATGTTTATATTTGTTATGATGTTGACGCAGGAGAAAAAAAAATCAAAATGAGTAAAGAAATACTTGTATTGGAAATTGGTATTTAGGTCATTAGTGTATAGTAGCATAGTTATAAATCGATTTATTTATTGTCAATGTTGCTTCAGGACAAAGGTCATGACCTTGATCAAAATAAATTAGCATTTGAGCTGGGTTGGAATTTATTTTTTTTTTTTTATTTTAAATTTTTTATCTTGAACTGCATACCTAATCATGTATTATCTATATTTGAAATTAGTGTTGTTATGACAGTCGCTGACTATCGAAAAATTGTCACTGAAGGCAGCATGTTGGCGACAATCGATAGAAAATTTTAAAATCGAAAGTCACTAATTTTTTTTCAAAATATATTTTTTAAACAAAATGATTTATCTTTGAACATTATCAATGAACGTTCCTCTATTTTTCTTGGAAATGGTGGACAAATTTTCCCACTGAGCATTAACTGAAGTTGGTCTCACAGATTTGTATTGAAATATTGTTTCCATTTCCGAGGATATCTGAATATTTTATAGTTAACTTTATTTATCCTTTAAATTAAAGTTCAAATTATCGATCATATAACTGATTGTATGCTAGCAATTCAATTTGATAATCAATAGTAAATTTGGTCCGATTTTGCAACACATACTATTTAAAATATTGTTTGTAATATTTTTAGGTTTTGTAGCTATATCTATGGATGTTAGTTAGATGCAATGTTAGTAGCTACTGGTTAATGCTTGTGCAAACCTTTTTGCTCTCAAATTCTTTGCGTGTCTTGTAACCTTTGAACCCTGCTTGAATTTTAAGGGCAGCTTGTTCTACATCTGGGTCAGTGAGATCAATATCAACTTCCTCTTCCTTTTGGTCAGGGACATGTGATTCCTGTAGTTATTTATAGCACACTGATAAAAAAAAGTTAGTCAAGCAAATGCAAAAAAAAAATATTAAGATGCAAGAAATTTATGCCTGTTTTACTGTATTCCATCTCCTAAACATATTAGTAATGAAGAGTCCAATGGTACCTATTCAGTAACTGATAGATAAAACTTGATAACACACAATCAAATATTTTTCATTTTAAAACTAATTCGAGTAAACTAAAAGCAATTTTATGAACAGCTTGATCTTCTACAAAGTAGAAAGTTAGGTATAATTAAAAGAAGTCAATAAATGTTATATATAGCTTAATATGAATTTGCCTTTTATTGCCAACAGCAATTTGACCAAGTTGCTTAATTAGCACTTTTTCTCCCATACTGTTAATCAAAAACAATTAATTAAGCTTCACTCTTAACCATCAACCTGTGTCTCTGCTTATATTCATTATTTTACCATAAGCTGTTGCCACAATATAAACTTCCTGAACAGATCATATTTACTATCAAAATTTAGTATCAAAAATGCTTCATATTAAATACCAAGAGCAAATTCTACAATGGAATCTAAAAGTGAAGGTTTAAGATCTAAGATACAACAAGATGCTGAAGAAAAGAACCTTAGGAAAAGTAAATCTATAATAAGACCTGCATGCCATGATCAATCCTTATTATAAGAAAATAGCCAATGTAATACCATACAGGCTCAAGCAATATCCGTATTGGCACTGTTTAAGTGTATAATGGTTTATGATCACATAATATGATGGAATACATTAAGCACTACAAAATGTCAAAGTTTAAAGGCGTAGTAGTCAGAAGAACAAGGCACTGATAATTACCCATCTATAGCACATATATTGATGATCACATAAAAACTTGACATGAAACAGAATTCTATATGCATGAAAAATCAGAATGCAAGTAATATGGCATGTGTATGAAATTAAACCAAACATCAACATAAAAGTATACAAGGCAGCAATGAACAAAGCTTTGGTGGCTTTATTATACATGTATCAAAGAACAAGTGAAGAACATTGGAGAGACTTTAGCTGAAGAGATCTGGCAGAGAAACAGAGATAAAGAAATGCTGAACCTTATAAAGAACACAGAGTACTTAATGCTAAATGGCTACTGTAAGACCAACAAACCAACCCTCAAATGCTTCATTTCTTTTCGTGTCTGGTAACCACGGAAACCAGCTTGGATATGTATGGCAGCATTTTCTAGTTCTGACTTGTCTAATTCACTTATAACTCCTCTATCCTGTCAAGTGTACATCAGTTACAAAGAATGAGGGTTAGTTAATACCACATTAGTTATATAAATCAAATATAAATGTATTCACAGCTGAAAAAAATGCTGTCAATCTTGTTACATGGCAATATTATACATATAACAAAAATTAGATATTTTTCACATATACAAAATGCCAAGTCAAATTAATTGCTTAAGTTCTGTTCTGAGAAATTCAAAATAGAGTGAGAAATTCAAAATATTGATAGTGATCTATGTAAAGGTTGAAAGTAATAATTTACTTATAACTACAGAATATATGGTCAATGTAGAACAACAAGTGAAAAGTGATTATAAGCATGCCAACTAGAAAATATTGATTATAACACAGAACACCAATAGGGAGTTCTCTATAGAGATGAGGTAATTAATCTGTTAATATTAATTAACCTTAAAGTATCTCCCAAAGGAACCAAGAGATTAATCAAAAAGATGGTTAAGTATGAATTATATAACGTAGAACCTGTAAGAAGAGGACAACTATACAAGTAACCTTGAAAACAACACTGTGACCTTGAAATTTCATCTGTCTTATTATGAATATTGTCATTTTGCATAAATTTTGATTTCTATTCATTGCTTTTGTTAAGCATACTAAAACCATGCAAATCATACATATGCACTTTTTTATGATCCATGTCATTTTTTCCTCTTTGTTTTGTTTTTACTGTAACAAAGTATTGACATAAGAGATACTGGAATGTAAATCATCAGTTCTTGCTGTTGTGAATCTTAAAAACCTTGTCTTTTTTTAAAAAACCTTTTTTGGAACAATTCAAGTTTTTTAACTTCTATTATTTCATAGTATGAATGCATGACTCTATGGCTAATTTAGAAAACTTATTAAGCAACAAATATGAAAATATGATAGGATTAGTCCTGCTCAGTCCTAAATCTATAACTTAATAACAAAACAAAATTCAAACCAGATTATAACATGCATTTATACAAAAAAAAAAAAAAAAAAAAAAACTACCTAAATCTATGGTTATTATATTCCTCAGGTACTACTGTCCTACAGTAACTAATCAATTGGTCTCCCATAAGCTGAAACAAAGTATATGATACACATATAGAAACTAATAATAAATATATTAAAATATGAATGCTGCCACTGATATTAAAAGTTTTCAAATTACATCTGCTCAAATAAGATACAAACAAATTCTAGATCTAATTTTTTGTGTCAGCTGCAGAATTATGGATTTCTTTGCCCTTTCCATTTGTAACAGTCTTTGTCTACCTGTCCATCTGTAACAGTCTTGTCTACCTGTCCATCTATTACAGTCTTGTCTACCTGTCCATCTGTAACAGTCTTTGTCTACCTGTCCATTTGAACAGTCTTGTCTACCTGTCCATATGTAATAATCTTTGTCTACCTGTCCATTTGTAACAGTCTTGTCTACCTGTCCATCTGTAACAGTCTTTGTCTACCTGTCCATATGTAATAGTCTATGTCCTTTGTCTTCTGTTAAAGTCTTTGTCTCCCTGTCTGTCTGTAACAGTCTACAGTAAAACTCGTCTAGTACGAACATGGATATAGCGAATTTACGGATATAGCGAAGTGTTTTGCCATTCCCATCAAAATTCTTGACATTTTCCTATAAAATTTTACAGTTTATAATGAACTGATTCTGTGTCCCCTAGAAGTTAAAAATAACAAAATTTACATCTTTTATAGCGAATTTTCAAAGAAATCAATTCTTAAATATTGAACTGACAATAATTTTGTAAGTACATGTACAGGTATATGTATTTGAAACTGAAACCAAAAACCTTTGAACTCCAAGATGAATTTTGTATTTTATACATCCCAAAATACATTTTATAGTCATACTTGAAGGAAAAGAATAGATCTATATTGCGAATTCGCTGTGTACAAGTATACTTTAACGAATTTGTTATATGGATATAACGAATTACGGATTTAGAGAAGTAAACTGGCAGGTCCCAGAACCTGTTTGTTAATTGGCCTTCTGCAAGGAATAGGGCTTACAGACATAAAGACCTTCAAAAATTTTGGAATGGCCTGATGAAATATCATAAAATTTGTGATATTTGAAAAATCATATTGCAACATATATCTCCAGTCCAATGAATATTCATAATCTGTGTTAGCAAAACCAATCTACAAAGTACTTTTGAGCAGCCACCTAGTGCACAACAAGATCCTAGAAGTGTTTCATATTACATGTGCTACTCTCTACAAAAGTGAAATATCCACTATACTCCTTGTCAATTAGATCTCTTGTGTTATGTCAATAAAAATATAGATCTACATTGCTACCCTCCCATCTATTATGTGGTGCCCTCTAATCTATATAGATAAGATCTACTGTGGTATTCTCTACCTAAATGTATGGTGCCTCATAGATACAGAAATAAAGATCTACTGTGCTACCCTCCACCTTAAAATTCTGGTGCCACCTACATACAGAAATATCTACTTAGTGGTGCCCCTCCACCTAGATCTGTAAGTGGTGTCATATTGAGACACAAACCTCTTTTTTCTCCTTCATTTCTTGTCGAGTTTTATGACCTCTGAACCCTGCTTGAATTTTAGTGGCAGCAGCTGCCATTTCTTTGTCACTTGGTAACTGGGTTTCTGAATTATTTTCTGCAATACTCTGTTCCTAGAAAGTTAGTAACAAATCACACTGTTAGAGACTTATTATTGCAAATAAACCAAAGTGATCAGTCATTCACCTGAAAACTGTAGATAAATATTTAGTAAAATCACATATGTAATGCACTCAGTCTAATTAGTAAAAAAAATGACTTATCAACTTAATTTTGAAATTTCAAAAATTCATACAAAAATACTACCAAATCTTAATTTAGTGTTATGAACATTAATTTTAAAATCTTTTGTGCTTATGAACCTGAAGAACTTTTTAATGGAACTTGAAATTTGCAATTCTTGTCTAACCCAATTCAATCAGTATGAAAAAAGAAAATGAAGCTTTTCAACATAATTTAAGAGAACAATTTAATTTTTGTGAAAAAAAATGAGATTAATTGAAGACAAATTTTTAACAGTATTCAACAATGACCAAAAAAAAAAAACAAAACAAAAAAAAGGTATTAAAAATTCTACCTGTTGGGTTCAAATTTTTAAATAAGCTGCAGACCTCAATTCAAGTGGTATTAAATATGGCCAAAAAAATGATATATAATCCAATGCCACAGAAAATTGCTGACTAGAGCAATAAAAAATCCTGATTTATATATATATAAAAAAAGGCGAGAGCGGACAAATTTGTGAGTTTCCGAATCTTGATGCTAGTCTAACGTGGAGATCCTGTCAATGAATGATTTCCATGCTGGCAAAAGTATTGATTACTCACTGACAAGAAGAACCTGTTTATTACTCTTTATAGAAATACTTTTTGGGAAGCTGGTGCATAAAACTAACACAATATATTGATGAAGTAATACATTCTGAGCAATTTCTGCATGTATCCTGCTATTTTTTGTCACCAATTCTCTTCCCATTTCTTATTGATTTCAGTATAGAATGAAGATAACTTTAATGAGTATAACACATTACTGGATCTTTATCAAGTTTTTTAGCACATTTACTTTGAAACAAATTGCTATTTCTCTAAGTGTTATAATATTGGGAACTTTGCACATGTTGATTGCTTGGACTTTTTTCCAAGTAAATTGATGTTAATTGCTTTTTACACCAGTTTTCAAGACACTGCCTTGGTTAAACTTTGTAATTATATCTAAAAAGACAATTTTTTCATCATTGACCGATTTTATTTCACTTTTTTTTTTTACAATACTTCACCTGTCATCTAGCTTAATATGGAAACTAGCTTATATTTACTGTCACTGTTAGTTGAAAACAATAAATTTTTTGAGCCAATGATGCCTCACAGTGATTGTTAATTATTATGTCTGTTCATTTTCTGTCTGACTAAAATCGATGGAGTGGGTAGACCTAAGCTTTTTGCGCACAAGGTGCCCCTTATATCCTGCTTGAATTTTACATGCAGCTTTTTCAAACTCTGTATCATTGAGATCAATATCGATAATGTCTGAATCTGTCTTTCCTGTTGCATCGTCTCTTCTTCCCTGTAGAAGAGGATTGCAGAACTATATATCTATAAACTATCAGTTTAGAAGTTTATATGATTATAATGAATATATCAAGTCCTACATATTGTTCAAAGCATGCTTAAGTCAAGAATGAGCAAATACTTCAGAGAATATGGACCTGGATTAGTATACAAGCATATAAATATTATATTTCATTTTATAAATGTAATCTACCAACTGTCCAAATCTCTGACTTTACATAATGGAGGGGGGAGGGGGTAACAGAATGCAAGCTCAATGACACTAATTTATGTCCTTTGGAAATATGACAGTGAAGCAAACATACCAATTAAGCCAAAATAATTGATCTTTGCAAAGATAGGCGTAGAATAAAAGAAGTTATTCTGACCTTTAAACCCCTAACAGTATTTATGGTTTGTTTGTACTGTGGCCTCTTCTGTGGATCAATTCACTCAGATATATGTGGCTGATGAGGACTTATGAGTAAAGAAGACCATTAAGCTATATGTGTAAACTTCCATTACAGCTGATTAGATGCTTAGTTTCAGAGGCTCTCAGGAGGCCATGGATTTACAACTAAGCCTTTGACATATAATGGAATCAATTTGTGGGGAACATGACTTTGATTTTTATTCTCAAATTTTCATCCTATTAACCTGCAATGAAGCAACTGGTTTGCAAATAATTATCCTATGATATACTCAAACGATCCTGTGAGTTAAGTTGCTCTCCTGTAAAGTGTTACAATTAACACTGCAGGTTTTGACTATCCATTTTCATTAAAAAAAAAACAACATTTGAGCAAAATACATAAGATCAGTATAGATCAACCCATTGCATTGAGGTTAATTGTAAGCAAAAAGCCAAACCATATTCTAAATGCTTTACACATCAAAAGCCGTTTTCCACAAAAAGTAAATAGTCAGCCTTTTATAATCATTCCTCAAAATCTTCTTACAGTAAGCATTAATTATTGCACATTATATCTAACTATGTTACTCCTTGATAATAATTAAACTTACCATAAATATCTGTACAAGTAATAAAATTAATGAATTTGATACAAACTAAAACATAAAATGGTAATACTTTCCAGTGTGTACTTCTTTCATTGTAATTATAGTGCTGAAGTGACACTATTCATCACCACAATCAATTCAGTGACTTAAACAATACAACAGTCACACTCTATTTAGCCACATTTGCTGTGTTTACACATTCCTATTAACTTTTTGCATAATGACCTTAACATACCTTCCTATCCTTGACCTCTTTGCGAGCTTTGTAACCTTTGAACCCTGCCTGGATTTTGACAGCAGCCTCTGCCACCTCTGGATCATCCAGATCGATATCCACACTGTCCTTACTACTTCCTGCTTTAGACAGCCTCTCTTCTGCCTCCTTCTGTTGTCTGGCATACTCCTCCGGGTCTCTGAAATAACAATATATAAATGTATAAAGATTATTCACCAATCAAGGGCCCTTAGGGAGCATGCACATTGTAAAACAATTTATGATTATGGAATCATTTTAATTCTTGGGGTCAATGTCTGTGGACAACCAAATTTTACTGGTTCACTGAGAAGTAATTTGGTACATAGGTCATATATACAGAAGACTTGATGAATCAATACAATAGACAGTGAACATTATTATGGTAAGGATGTAAATTCATGGGTAAAGGTGATCCATGAAATTCATGAACATTACCCCTCCAGGGTTAGAAACTCCGTAAAATTACAACTCGCAAATAATTGCGAGTACCAAGAAAGTGAACTCGCAATTTTATAAGACTACTCGCAATTTTCATATAAAGTTAAATTTATATAAATTTTAAAATACATCTAACTTAAGGAGAAAGTAACTACTGTACAATACACAAAATACAACTACAGTGTGACTTTTAGTGAAATTACTGATTTAAATCAAAAGCATTGTGTTCTGTCATATTATATAATTTTGCTACAGTTTCAATGCAAAAAAAATCAACTCGCAAGTTTTTGCGAGTTACCTAATTTTTAACTCGCAATTTGGGAATTCTAACTCGCGTTTTGCGAGTTGTATATAGTGAATTTCGAACCCTGCCCTCCCTCCCCTTTCCCCAGAAAAATTCCACAGTGACCATGATTTTTACAATTAAAAGTTGCATTAAATGAATTTTTATTAGCTTTTTAGCCATAATTTGAACAGTCTCTGTTTTCAGATTTTTAATAAATCAGAAACTATTAGCATTCATTTACTTGCCAATGGTATAAACATTCCTCTAAAAATGGACAGCTACCTAATCAATTTTAGCATCGTTATTGTATGTATTATCTTTCTGTATGAACAATCGTGCATACAGATATAATTCTCCATATTCTAAATTATTCATGATCACAGTGAAAGATATTCTCTCTCTTTTCACTCCATGTGTTTTGAGAAGTCAAGCTGATCACACTCATAAAGTTAGCTTCTGTCTAATCAATAGATTCCCAAAACTAATCAATAGGATTAACAAATCAGCTTCATGATAAATACAAACCTAGTAAATTTGCTTTTTTTAAAAATAATTTATCAAAATCAAAATTTAGACATCAAATAACATATAGCAAACTGTTTCTGTTACAGACCAGGGTTGTCACTAATGGGAGAATCAAAATCAATACTAAAGTATCAATCAAAAAAAAAATGTCATGTAACATAAAAAAAAAGTTAAGAGCACAAGACTTAAAAATACAATAATACAAATTTTAATTCAAACATCACAAAAAATATGTGAAGTCCTATTGTGTACTATTTTGTGTTTTATATGAAAACCATACAAATTAAAAGTTCGGTGGTCATGTATTAGACAAGTATAAACAAGTTCTAGAAATGACAGGATCTACAGCTTTAACAACCACTAAAGTAATATAGCCTTAAAAATCTCTCTTTATGAGACTAAATCAAGATCTACGAGACATAGCAAAAGAAACTCCAGCTGCAAAGTAGCATATTTGTCAAGATCAATTCATTTATTTAGTACATTTGAAATTTATAAGGAAGACCTAGCATGTTCCACCTGACCAAGTATGTACTATTTTGTTAAATGCTCAAGCTATTGTTTTAGAATGTCCCTTTTTTTCATCTCTTAACATAGTGATATATTTTTGACAAGTATTGAAAAATCTCAAAAAAAGATGCACTGATGTGAATGATGTTTATAGAACCATTTTTAATTGATACTATAATATTGATACTAAATTCAAATCCAACAATAAGAGCTCTGTATCAAACTGTTCAATGAAATTTTCTTTAAAGAACCTAGAAAATAACTTTTTCTTGTTTACTCACTTCATTTCCAAGACTTTTTGTCTGTCTTGGAAGCCACGGAAACCAGACTGTATTTTGATTGCAGCTTCCTCTTCCTTCATGCTGTTGACTTCCTGTTCTGCGTGGTGCCGACGGAACTCAGTCTGGATTTTGAGGGCGGCCTCTTGCTGCTGAGGATCCCCAGGGTCGGTGCTAGAACTCTGGAAGGAGTCATTGTTGTAGAATCGATCCTCCAACCTCGCCCCATGGACAGCTGGATCATGGCCAGTTTCTGTATAAATACAATGTATTTATTAAAAAATAATTAAGCCATTAGAAATGCTGTTCGACTTCAGAAGATAAAAACATTTAAATTTCCAAAATATACTTAGTTCAGCATCAAAACTCTCTAACTCAACTATAATAAGTAATGCCTGTATTTAATTATACAAATGTGTAATTACCTAAAACAAGTGAGAAATCAGAGTTTTATTCATCCTAAGAAAGAAGAGAACTTTTTCTCCAGGTATGGTGTTGTAAAATGGGATTCATCTAACCTTTCAAAGTTTCATGTACATGTTATACATGTACTCTATTTTTTTTCCCCTTAAATGCAGTACTTGCACTGTTATTATACATTATACAAACATTATGGAAAAAATTTTCAACTTTAATCAATCAATTTTTTCAAACTCCTTGTGATCATTAAACTAATATATATAAATACACAGTTTTTGTCAATATATATGATTTACGAGAGACACTGCAAACTTGTTAAAGACAAGAATGAACATTCATATCTATAAATCTGACATTCTTTACCAGGAGCATCAACAGGGAAGCTGGTACACGAAGCTACACTATGAAAAGATGACCTCTTCTTGCCAACAAACTCCCGAATTCTAGAGAATTTTGTTCCCATGGCTTTTACTGTTCACCAGCCAATATCTGCTACTCAAGATTCAGCAAAGTACAAAACTTAGAATATCAAACTTCTAATAAACATGTCACTGATGGCAGCAGTGGCAATTTGCTTTCTTGTCGGTGGCTAAAATGTTTCCTTTACTTAAAACAATTATCCAGATTCTGAGCTGAATTACAATATCCTCACAATATTAAATAAAACCTCCCTCTGCATATCTCAGTGACATGACGGTCTTCGTGAGCAGCACTACCTCCCCATTTTCCCCCGTCCTGTTGATTCATCAATGATGCATCGGTACCCTTTTACTTATAACTACTGCAGCAATCAATAAACTACCAATACATTTGCAGGATCTAACAACAGTCAAACCTTTACAGTTTTCAAACAGTTTTTTAGTTCAGTAAACTAATACAATTGTATCACACAAAATCAATCAACAATAACTCCACTAAAATTTGCAACAATTTCCTGTAGGCAACTCTTAACTGAACATTCAACATTGAATCAAATTAAACATGTACATGCAAATGGAAAAACAGATGTTTTCTCCTCATAAGAAGCCCATGAGCCATAATGCTCACCTGACTCATGTCAACTGACCTCTAGCTGCCAAATGAATATATTTGTTATGTGACCCCTTCTTACAGCTTTACATTCTAATTGTTCTCCAAGAGTCCAATATATTCTCTTGTGTATACTATGACCACACAGACTATAACTTGAATTCTACTACAGTTATTGCCGAGATCAATGAAATGCCACTGACATTATTCTCCAATAAATCATAAACATCATTAAAAAAATTTAATATCAGATCAAAAACACTGTTCAAAAACATATCAAACATGTACAATTGAAATGAATATTTGACTTTTAATTTTAATACTTATTTAGACCATATTGATGTGTCATCTTCCAAAATCTGAACAGCGTGTATTGCCTTAAACAGCTTAAATGATGGTTTTTATAGCTGAATAAGGCTGTTCCACAGACCTCCCCATAACATTTTCACTCCATGATTTTACTGATAAAGCAATAAAAAAAAGACAACTGATTTTATTTCTTTACATTCATAAATATTAATCAATTTAACAAATTTATGAATGATTAAAGAATATTTTTAATCTAACGAAAGCTCAAATCATCTGCATTCCATTGCAATTGATACACAAGTTAACAAACAAATTGATCTTTTGGTGTTCAATTGAACAGCTTAATTGTGACATGGTAACCTAATTCATTTCTCTATAGAGGAAACAATCAGCCGTATTTTAGACCTGTTAGAAGAATAGAAATAAAAAATAAAACGCTTGAAAATCACATTAGAACAATTTTGGCTGTTATGATAAAAATGGATGTTGATGAAATTGTATTTTATGAAAGTTGATAAACATTAAAAAAAAATATTTGAAAGTTGATAAACATAAAAAAAAATATTTGAATAATCTTATTTAAAAAATCTTTTCAGTCAGCGTGATTTAATTGTGTCGGTTTCATTAGGGAAACAAAGGTATTTTTTATTTTGGCCCAATCAATATTCATTTAATTTTTTTTCTCCATTTTGTAGTGTTAAATTGTTGGGTGAAATTCTACCTGTTTAATGGTTTATTTTCTTTGAAAATTCCTACTTTTTTGAATCACTTACAAATACTTTTGCTCATACAATGTTTTATGACTTTACACATAGTTGATAAAGTTAAAAATTAGTTCCATGGATATTTATTGGGAAATAAAATATTTGCATGTTTATGTTTTTTTTCCAGCAATTACACTTACAATGCTATAGATCTGGCAAAAATGTAACAAAAATGGTCTTACTAAGTTGAATATAGCTTACAATCTATCTATGTTACTGACACTGTGCCCTATAACCATAACCAACTGGAACTCTCTGCCACAACATATAGAGTATACCATAAATAAAGGCCTACTGCAGAACAATTTAAAGCTGCCCCAGAAGCTTATAGAGACTAACTACTTAGTGTGCAGTCCCTCATCCTGAAAGACTTTTGCTCAATAGTGATATACTTTTCTGTACCCGTGCATAGGGGCTTGTCTTCAGGATTGTTAATTTATGTAAAATAAATTTTAAAAATTTTGAATCTTCTTTAAATATACTTAAAAGTTGTTAAAATAGAGATTCTGACACTTTCAGTCAAGAAAAACCACGTTTAAAAAAGACGTACCACACCTATATACATAAACTTTACAATGGACGAAAACTCTCATCTTGGAAAATACCCCAACCCAATTCAGCGCCTATTTCTGGACTCTAAGGCATTAATTTATTTCGTTGTCATGGTTCTGTCCCCTACAGTGATGATTTTCCTAAATGTTGATGCGTTTGTCAGTCGTCAACACGTGTTTAATCAACAGAAAACAGATACAATTTCTTCGATTTGGGGCTGATTTTTCTAAAATGACGTGGGGAGAACGAAAGTTTACAAAATCACAAAGGCAGATAATCAATGTATAGGGAAAACTCAGAGGGTAATCGAAAGCGAATGGTAACATCCAAGGACTTCCAGCTTTGCGGAAAAAATGTTAACCGACAAGAAAAGACAGTGAAAATGATAAATGCTGGCTAAAGTTTGGTTTTCAGGGGCTAAGGTAGCACCAGGAAGACTCATTTCATTTAATGTATACAGTGTAACTAATCTGTTACATAATTTACAGGACACTTGCTATACAAGCGCGCTATATGTTATACCACGATTAGCGCCCTTGCATCGTTACCATGCAACCATGTAAACTTTCGTTCTCCCCACGTCATTTTAGAAAAATCAGCCCCAAATCGAAGAAATTGTATCCGTTTTCTGTTGATTAAACACGTGTTGACGACTGACAAACGTATCAACATTTAGGAAAATCATCACTGTAGGGGACAGAACCACAACAAAGAAATAAATTAATGCTTTAGAGTCCAGAAATAGGCGCTGAAAAGGGTTGGGGTATTTTTCCAAGATAAGAGCTTTCGTCCATTGTAAAGTTTATGTATATATAGGTGTGGTACATCTTTTTAAAACGTGGTTTTTCTTGACTGAAAGTGTCAGAATCTCTATTTAAACAACTTATAAGTGTACTTAGAGAAGATTCAAAATTTTTCACATTTATTTTACATTTAACAATCAAGAAGACAAGCCCCTATGTACCCATGATTACAGATACAGAAATTTAAGGACAATTCAAAGTTGTCAGGCAGCAAAACAGTGATGTTCAATGTATAAGATCTCCCTGGTATCATTCCATCTTCATCTTTCTTCCATCCTATTAGTACTGCTACTAGAGACCATGATCAAAGAATGCAGATCCTATACCATAGATAGAATGTCCTATCGTTAAAATGATATATGTTCTACGGACCCGGTTTGTGGTGAGGGCCTGCCCCGAGACACAGTTAGATTATTCTAACTACCTATACCAGGACAGACACTCTAAAAGTATCTTTCTTCCATCTGGGATCTGCCTGTGGAACACATTACCACCTAGTGTCATAGAAGCCCAAACCCTCAAATTGTTTTATATCAGGGCTGAAGTAAATAAAACATGAAACTAAGCTTTTATCTAGTTTTAAAAAGTGTAAATAGAGGACTCTCCCTTGCACCTGTGATGATCCCTGGACGAAGTTCTGCACTATTGGAAGAATCCAGACCTAGATGCTACACCTCAAAACGTAACTCATATGATCTTTTAAATCATGGTGATCTATCTTTTATTAAATAACAACTGAAATCAATAGGTTTAATGTTTCATATTGGTCAACATGTATAAAGATATACAAACCAGAGGAAATTCGAACTAAAGTATTTTTCCCTAAAATATTTCCTCCTATCAAAAGTTGAACATTATGTATTTCAGATAAAATTTGAAAAACAAATTTATGTAATAAGGTGTAGGTCATGAGAGAAAAAAACCATTGATACTTACGCTCTCTAACTTGAAGAAGTTGTTGGAAATACTTGGCACCAAATTCGTATATATTTTCTGGCTGACTTCTCAAGCATTCTCTCGCTAAACCTTCTAAAATATTCTGAAATCCTTTTGGTACTCTGAGTTTTGTATTTGAAAAAGGGACCGCCATTATAAAGCAATAAAATTCTCCAAAAGTTTAGCTTGACAACAAACACGAGTTTATCCCCTTCTGCTAAAATATGGCTGCCGATTGTAAACGTCACTGGTAGCAACGAGTTCAAAGGTCAAATGTGCTTATGGCGGGAAAAATTAAAGTGTTCTATTTTAAAAATAGTATCGGGTGATGATTGTTAGAATTGGTCTTTCTCAATATATTTATTTATTTTTTTTCATTTTAATGATCTAAGATGTGATATATTGGAATTACAATGTTCTTTATGGAAGCTCTAATTAAAGACTAAAGAAACTGTATTTTTTTTTGTTGAACATTGTTGTTTTTTATAATTACTTTGCGGATAAAATTATGTCATATATAAAGGTTAGGTCTTCATATTAAGTTTATCTAGAACATTTTAAGCAGATAGCTGCCATATTTCTTAGGGAAAATATTCAAAGACAACTGTTACATATTAATGAAAAGAAATCACTGTCACGATTGTTTACTTACCTTGGGATAATGCATGAATAACTTTTAAAATTACTTTATTTTGATCCATTATAATGTTAAGAATATTTTATTCTATTTCAAATTGTGTCATTTACTTAAGATGTCCGATTATTTCATTTTACATCAAAGGACAACTCTGGCTGCATATACAGTACTTTAGAATTAGAACTTTTCTGTGAGCAGTGCATGCTTGCTTCCTTATAAACACGATTCAGTAAAATTATGAGTGGTGTTCTGAGTCTTCCTTACCTGTTTTCTATTTATGGATGTTGGTCAAATTAGAAGTGGGGGAGGGGGGATCAATGTATATTCGAAATGCAAAAAGGGGCTAAATAAGTCATTGATAGGCATTTTGCAAAGCATTTTGCAAAGAAGTATTGAACGGTGGAAAGCTATAAGCTTCCCCTTCTTTCACATGCACCCGAAAATGAAATGAGAAATTGACCTGTGGCAAACATATTTTGGACTGAACTGAAGTGTAAAATTGCAGGTACGTTGAGTCGTTAATGCTTTATACAAATGCCTTTTCACTTATTGGTAGCATAATATAATCATATGAAGTTGTGGTTTGTATATCGTAAACATTTGTTTTTCAAATTCGCCCTCTCCGTCCCTTTTGGAAAAAAAAAAAATTAAGATCCATGCCTGTACATGGGCGTTATACGTTATGTTTGTGTAGAATGACTGTAAAAATTGATGTCACTGTAAAAAAAAAAAATCTTCCTATAAATACTTACATATTATACTTACGGTATCAGTTTGAAATTAATTTACTAGTTAATATTCCAAATTACAATTAATTTGAGTTTTCACTGCGTAATCAAAATTACAAATTAGCAACTCAAAAATTGCATATTTCTAGTTCGGTTTTGGAAATATTCTAACGTAAAAGACAGACCAAGTTACGGGTCTTCCCGAGAATGAGCTAAATTTTGACAGTTATCATCACACACCTTTTAAAAATTTGCGAATTGGCGCCTTGATTTGAGATTAATATATATTTTGTCAAATTAGTTAACTTATTTGTAATTTCAAATCAATCATTTGTTTTTTTTAATTTCATAATTTGTCCATTGAAATTAACGAGTTAAAAATTGCTGATTTATTTTTATTATGAAACTCCCTGGCATTTATATAAAAAATATGAATAAATGTATCTTGTGAAAGTGAACTTAAACTTAAAGATGTTTGGAAATTTTATACTGGAGAAAAAAAAATGAAGGCACTCGATCCAAGTGAATACGAGTATGTGTAATACATGACAATATACTTAGTATTTACCCATAAGCTATTTAGCTGCATGGGGGTCACCCGGTACAGGGTTATGATGATTGGGAAGAACAACATGGTTAGAATTTTACAGTGAGAGGACGGATACATTTAGTATGAAATTTATTCGAACAATTTAATTCTGCGCCTTTATGGGCATACAACGCATGGATAAAGTACTCAGTTTAACAACTGGGGGTATTTAGCAGTATAAACTCATAAAGATTTGCCTTATCTTTTCTGGACGGTATGTATACAGTCTGCGCAGAGTATACATACATCGCGGATTAAGAATTTTAAAGATGTACTGTACCGCGAGTATCTTTAGAAGATCGAGAAGCGCCCTTGTAGGAAAGACCAAGTCTAAAGGAAAACAAGCAAATTCAAAGAATTGTAGTCCCCCACTTTCGGTGTCTTGTAGTGGATAGATGTCATTATTTATGGCATATTGTAACTGTCTTGCTTGTGTGTCTTGTTTTCATGCAAAAAAGACATAAATTATTGATTTAATAACAGTTATGGCAAAGATTATATAGCTTCTCAAAATCAAACATGAAACATGAAGTCAAACATCATAATATATACAATCCAAAAGGTCTTGTCACAAGTAATGCACACGTGAAAAAGTATGAAAGCCCTGTCTCTCATGGAGCATATAGGTTATGGTCAAGGTTAAAATTTTTCACAAGTAGGTCAAACTTCTAGGTCAAGGTCATGAAGTAAAAAATGATATACTTTTCTGAAAGGTTTTGTCATAGGTAATGTACATGTAGAAATATGTAAGTCCTATCTTCTCTCATTCAAAAGTTTTTACAAATGTAAAATTAATATGAAAAAAGTTAAACTTTGAGGTCAGGGTCACGAGGTCGGAAAAAAAAACAAACAAACAGAGTATACAAAATCGGAAAGGTCTTGAAACAGGTAATGCATATGTCAAATATAAATGCCACATCTACTCTCAATCAAAAGTTATCATCAATGTTAAAATTTTTGAAAATTATGTCAAACTTTAAGGTCAACATCATGGGGTTAAAAATCATAATGCTTGTCACAGGTAATGCACGTGCCAAATATGAATGCCCTACATGTATTTTCACTCCTTCAAAAGTTAGTAACACTGATAAAATGTTTGAAAATTAGGTCAAACTTAAGGTCAACGTCACGAGGTCAAATATCATAGCACATTTGGAAACATTTTGCCACAGGTAATGCACTTGTCAAATATGAACGCCCTACCCTATGTCATTCCAAAGTAATCACCAAAGTTAAAATTCTCATGAAAATCAGGTCAAACATGAAGGTCAAGGTTAAAAGGTAAAAATCATAGCATACTCGGAAATGTCTTGTCACAGGTAATACACATGTCAAATATGAAAGCCCTATCTTTTCTCAATAAAAAATTATAATGAAAGATAACAATTTTTGAAAAGTAGGTCACACTTAAAGGTCAAGGTCATCGGGTCAAAAGTCATAGATTTTTAAAAAGGTCTTGTTACAAGTAATATACATGTGTAATATAAAAGCCCTATCTTTTCTCATTCAAAAGTTATGACCAAATTAAAGTAATGTTAAAATTTTTGAAAGTAGGTCAAACTTCAAGGGGTCAAAAATCATAGTATATTTGAAAAGATCTTGTCACAGATAATGCACGAATAAAATATGAAAGTCTTGTCTCTTCTCAGTCAAAAGTTATGACCAAGGTTAAAGTTTTTGTGACAGACAGGTACGAAAGAGATTTAATATCCCCTCGCTCTCGCGAAAGCTGAGAAAAATGTTACATATGGTAATTTGCACCCCATTTTGCATACAAATTTGGGCTGGGTAGGACTTACAGTAACTTGTGTATGGATCATAAAAGTCAAATCCAGCATTTGAAGCAGCTAGGTTCGGTAGAGTAAATCCTTCTATGCAAGTTTGTATCAGGTCGGCCATTAGTTACTTTGAAATAGATAAATTCCAAATACTTATCTGTTCATTCAACTGGAAAATGTAGGTCATATCTAGCATCTAAAGCAAGCTGATAATGCAACCCAAGATGTATCAGCCATGTAGATTTGGTACCGATAGGGCATATACTGTAGTTTCTTGGGAATGAGACCTGCTCCAGAATATAACCTGTTCAGTCATTCATAAAATGTAGGTCAGATTCAGCATCCGAAGCAAGTCTGATAGTGTGTATTCCTAGATGCACCATCCATGCAAGTTTGGATAGGGAATGAGGCCTGCTCCTAAAACTTTAACCAGCTTCAAAAAATTTTACCTGCTGCAAAACCTTTAGCCTTGTCATCTTTATGGAAGATATTGGGGAAAATGCAGCATCTGAAATCTGGCTGGCATTGAATCATACAAGATGCATCATCCATGCAAATCTGATCAATATAGGGCATTGCATTACTGAGAAAGAGAAAACTGCTCCAACAACTTTAACCTGGAACGCCGTCGCAGAGGGTACAGCATAAGCTCCCCCTCCCCCAACTACATGCATGTATATGTCGAGGTGAGCTGAAAAAAAATAAATAACTGAAAAAAAATCTAAGTTAGTCACTTGACGAGACTTCAATCATTTCCCTTTGCTCCAGTGGTCAAACATTTTTGACTATCCTTTTATCATGTCTACCAGGTTCTGAACACATATTTGACCTTGTGTCTAAAAAGATCGATAAAACTTATGAAAGTCATTTTCATCTGAAAAGATGAAGTCCCAGTGGGTATCAAATTTGTTGAAATGACAATAAAACTGGTCAAATAGCTCACCATAGCCTAGTCATAATTAGTTTTTATGTAATTAACGTACGTATCTACGAAAGCCTATTAGGATCAAACTATCACAGTGTAAATTTTGATTAAAAACAATTTTAGTGACATGTTTTACCTGACTTTGAAATATACTTTTAATTATCTGTAATTACTTTAAATATCACGAAAAACTTTAATTATGCTAATTACTATGTTACTCAAAACGCGCCAATTTAATCAATTTACTCAACATGTCATGAGTTATTCTATCTAAACCATCTGTCACTCATGTTCAGAATTGTGCTAATTGTCATTGTTATACTTTATTATTTATATGTTACATGCATCATTGTTAATCAGTGAAGTCCTAGGCTTCGGATTGTTCGGGTGTAATTTTGGATTTCCAGAATTCACCCTACCGACCTAAGTTATAATAAAGTGCTATTCCATCGTTAGCATTTTTATGTTTCATTGTTGCCGGAAAGTTTTTTTACACTTATTGTCCCCGGTGATAATTTGGTGGAGAAATCCTAAGGGTATAACACCCGGGACTGCTGCATATATTTTGTAGCAGTTTGATCCTGAGTACCAGCAACTAAGCGAGTTTCCCCAAGACGGTCAACAACTATAACCTCAACCACACCATGCAAACCTGGAGAAAAGGATTTTACCGCTCCTCCCCAACATCTTTCCAGCGCCATTGTCTTTCGCGTCCTTGGATCACACCAGGACCAGCACGAATTTTCTCGACACCGGGATCCAGTCCACGGTGCTATAGGTGCGGGAAAACTTTCTTCCACGGCCACCTTTTCACGTGTCAAGCTACACGTTCCGAGTGTTTCGTGTGCGGAAAACTTGGTCACCATGCGAAAGTATGTTTCTCTTCTGCAACCACACCTTACCGTTCCTCCCAAAGGAATACATTTCCAATGGCGTCCATCGATCATTCAACGATCAAAAAGGATCAAGCCAAGGGGTCAGGACGGGCCTGCTTGAAGACAAACCCGGGAAACCCGTCTGTAGGATCGCCTGACAAAAAGTCGTCAAAATGCGATTCTACTGCAGGTATGTGTATTTCTCGGACTGCTTCCAAAAAAAGTCCGAAGAGTGTTGCTGTTGCGGAGACGCAAAGGAAGAGTGTACTTTATCTGCAGACTAAGTCCGTAAGCAAAAGGCGCAGGGATTCAAAAAGAATAAAGGACTATTACGACAGATTGCAGTTAGTGAAATCTTTACCATTCCAAGACCTAAGTTCCGAAGATATTCGTAATTTATTTAAATCAACAGGCCATACCATCCAACTAACTGCATTACAGAATAAAAATAAGACCTTAAAGACAAAAATTAGTGAACTAATACGGAAATGTGACAATCTTCAGACCGTAACATCCACTCTTCATAAACAAATTTCAAAGTTACAGAACAGACCAAACGAACGAAGACCATACGACTCAACTAGACGTGTCGACAAACAACACCCTTTCCTCCCGCTACCAACACCAACCAAGCGTTACTGGTACCAACAACCTAGTGTTCCACATGCCAGTCCCCGGTGATTCCTGAGACGAGGACGTCTCATTTTTCGAAGCGAGAGGGAATTATCACAGTGTAAATTTTGATTAAAAACAATTTTAGTGACATGTTTTACCTGACTTTGAAATATACTTTTAATTATCTGTAATTACTTTAAATATCACGAAAAACTTTAATTATGCTAATTACTATGTTACTCAAAACGCGCCAATTTAATCAATTTACTCAACATGTCATGAGTTATTCTATCTAAACCATCTGTCACTCATGTTCAGAATTGTGCTAATTGTCATTGTTATACTTTATTATTTATATGTTACATGCATCATTGTTAATCAGTGAAGTCCTAGGCTTCGGATTGTTCGGGTGTAATTTTGGATTTCCAGAATTCACCCTACCGACCTAAGTTATAATAAAGTGCTATTCCATCGTTAGCATTTTTATGTTTCATTGTTGCCGGAAAGTTTTTTTACACTTATTGTCCCCGGTGATAAAACTATGGTAAAAACAAATTTAAAAGGCGTTATAACGCCTTTTCAAAAGGCGTTATAACGCGAAAAAAGGCGTAATAACGCCTTTAGAAAAAGCGTTATAACGCGGAAAAAGGCGTAATAACGCAAATAAAGGCGTAATTACGCCTTTGGAAAGGCGTTATTACGCCTTTTAAAAAAGCGTTATTACGCCTTTTTAAAGGCGTTATTACGCCTTTTAAAAAGGCGTTATTACGCCTTTCCAAAAGGCGTTATTACGCTTCTTATGTTTCAATATATGACTTACTTAGCCCACCCTGGGGGCTGATTATATTTAGATTTCCAGGAAAAAGATTTTTAAATGTGTAAAATATTTTCAGTGTTAAACAAACTTAGTCCTTCTCTGATGCCAGACACCTCTACCAAGGTGCATGGATTTCAGAAATTTGGTTGAAGGCTAATTGCTCATTATACCTATGCAAATAGTTTGCCTGTTTTTTTTCCAAGAGGAGAGAAAAATATTTCAAATTTGACATGAATTTTTAATACATGGCTAGCAAAGCCCAAAGCTGGCTCTGCCTATATCCTGGATTTTCAAAAGTAGAGTGTTGACTTCTCTTAATACGCATGCAAACAGCTGTCTGCGAGATGTGCAGGAATATAGAAAATACTATAATTTATAATATAATTTTTAATATTAAAGCTATAATCTAAATATTGCATAAATAAAGGTGGCTTTGGTTCAATCTTTTATATATTTATTATTTTAAAATAACGCCTTTCCATTTTTGGATATAACTCCTTTTCAAACAAACAGGCCGGTTGTGGGGGGGGGGGGGGGGTTTCCCCCACCCCACTTTTTGGGAGAGTAGTCTTGTTATAGTTTAAATATAAAAAATCATTTATTGATTGCTTGGTCCCTTAACATTTTGTTGCAGTATGGTTAAACTCGGGCAAGTCATTGCATTTAAAAAAGTTTTACCGAAAAGTTAGAAAAAGATTCCCCTTAAGGCAATTTATTTTTTTTTGGGGGGGGGGGGTGTTTCTGGGTTTTTTTTTGTTTGCTTGTCAATTTCATGGGAGGCCCCCCCCCCCTTCAAAATCACGGGCCTGTCAAAGACATAATAATGGCTCTTCAAAAGGCATAATAACGCCTTTTGGAAAGGCGTATTTACGCCTTTTTTCGCGTTATAACGCCTTTTGGAAAGGCGTAATTACGCCTTTATTTGCGTTATTACGCCTTTTTCTGCGTTATAACACCTTTTCAAAAGGCGTTATTACGCCTTTTTTCGGCGTTATAACGCCTTTTAAATTTTTTTTTTACCGTAGTTTGATCCTAATAGGCTTTCGTACGTATCAGTTAGTCAGTGTGATTTTTTTTCCGAGTCGTCAATTTAATTGACTTTTAATAAGTGTCATGACCTACTTATTGCATTCTCATCTGGAAGGTTTTTAGGGGTCATATAGTGTCTGACTTAGGTTTTCAGTGTTCTGGGATAGTCTGAACGCCTTCGTTACCCCCACCACATCCCACCTACTTATGCATTGCTCTACTGTTACATGAACTGATGAATCTAAGCCCCCCTCCCCCACCTACCGAATAATTTCAAATTATGTAATGTTTCTGCTTGCTTTTTAATTTGGATATTTCAACTGTTCAACCAGGTTTTTATTTCGCTAGGGACCTCCATATATATTAAAAATTGTTCCTTGACAGTGGCATCGTGCAGAAATCCTTATAGAAACTAATAAACAAATAAAACTAAAAATTTCCACAATGTAGGCGGTCAGGAAGGTTCGACAGAAGCACTCTCAGCTGCTCAGTGCTTTTAAAACATGCTTAAGGACACGAACCCCCCACCCCCCCCAAAGGCTATTGCATAATTGCAGTATAGACCCCCTGTTGGTGTTTTTTTTTTACTTATTTGATAAAGTATCTTGTGCACTAATCCATTCCATCAATCTGAAAAATTACAAAGAAATTCCTATCGCACTTTATAACAGCTATAACCTTATATAGAAAGTAATGAATAATTCGGGTTTATTTACCAGTTTTCATTGAGTGTTTCCTTGATATATTATTTAATTCTTTTTTTGCCATGACAATTACTTTACTTAAATACCAATAACCATGAAAACCTTTGGTAAAAGTCAAATTTCCGAAATCAGCTGACAAAAGTACGGGAAAATCCGCAAGCAATTTTATTGGACATTTCGTAGACAAATATTTTGACCGAAAACGAGGCAGTGACTCAACTTGACGACACGATTGAACAAGAACGAGAAAAACAAGGGCAATTTCGTTAGATGCCCATGAATTCAGTGAACGAGGACCACCTGAAAGACAGTAAATATGAGAGAAGAAATTGGTGCAGCAGTTTTGTTTATTACTCGATTGATACGCCTAAGCGGTAGCGTTTCAAAGGAGAAGGTTGTAGAATTTTCTGATTCTTTGTCCGCCATTTTGAACGAAAAATTCACAAATCATTGGTATCAAGATCATCCAGCTAAAGGACAAGGATACAGATGTATTAGAATAAATTCAGCAGAACCAATTGATCCAGTTTTGGAAGAAGCAGCTAGAAACTCAGGACTACAGTATCATGACCTCCGACTTCCTTCCGAATTGACTCTGTGGGTTGACCCAAAAGATGTGTGCTGCAGGTATATTTCATCAGAAAATTTAATAATTGAATAATATAATTCTTGTAACTTACTTTTTCTAAACGGTTGTTTGATGGAAATGTAACGAATTTGGACTTATTTTCAATAGTGGAAGTACTCATCTCTAATTAAATTTTAGTGTCCTACTCCTAGTACTATGAGAACAAAGAAAGAGAAATGAACTTTCAAAATAAAGATGTACTTAAACATGTTAAACTAAAAGTTCTTAAGTTTATTCCTGGAATGTCTACTTGAAGGACTGTTATAATTATATCATGACTGGAACACACATTAGCATATTTTCTTATTTCTTCACATTTAGGACACTTAGATAGGATTTTCTTCAGGGTTGCGAATAAATAACCAATCGCCCACATGCAAATGTGAGAATTTTGTCTGAGGGCGGCCAATTCTTGATTATGTTATCGCCCACGTGGCAACTTCAAATTTTATTGCAACTTTTCCAGAACCTGACTATTAAAGCCACTTTCGTTTTCATTATTTCATACCTCTGAAACGTTTTCTAGACCCTGAATCGCATCAATATTATTACTGTGAGAGTTCTCAGAGTGAAGAAAAATGCATTAAATGCTGATTCAGAATACCATGCAAGTAATGTTGAAAGAAAAATGGAAGGCTGTGGACAGCAAAGTACATGTCTTCTCGGAGATTGATAAAAAAAAAAGATTGATAATTTTTTACTAAGTGGACAGAAATTCTTGGACCTCAAAATATTACTCTTAGGCTATTGTTATATTACTGATAATATTAATATAAGGGTAGTAAAAGTTGTGAAGTTGGGGGCCCATATGGTCCCTAAGGTTTTAATTGTTACTTGCAGACCTGATCTATTCATTAAAATGATGTTGTCCTAAAGCAGTGATTATTTTAGGGCCGATTTGGGGCCGAAATTCGGCCCCAGTCCCAATTGAAAATATACCTGTATTTTCCCCAAATGTAGTGGAAGTTTTCCCAAAGAAAAACTTACAAAATATGTAATCAACATGATCAATTCAGTTTGCTTATTGCATGTTTTTCTGTGAAGTTCAAGCAGGTTTTGTAGCACTGGTTCTCTGCCCTTGATTCCAGTCGCTGCCGCTAGGAATTACAAGGACAGGTAACCACCGCCGCCATGACAGTGGAAAATCTCACTGCTTTGTCGCACAAAGCAATTGCGCATTCTAAAAATAAATAGCATCCATGCTTGCTGAGAAGAATGTTAGGTGGATCAAGTGATCTAAATAACAGAGATAACAAAACGTAGCGTATCTAAATTGAAGAATAAAACAATGAAAAACATGGGGAAAATATTTAAATAACATGACAGTGACTGTATTGACTGAGTATATAGTTTACAAATGTCACAATGAACTCGAGAATGTTCCAATAGTGTTAACATTGTGATCCTGACGCATAAACACATAAATATACAGTGATTTATGGAGTTGGAGAGGCGAATTAAACGCTATCATTCCCTGTAAACTTAAAAACATAAATAAAGGTAAAGATCATCTTGTGTCGTAGTTGAATCAATGGGTGAATGGGAAAATCATAGATTTGAGTTATTTTGATAAAGCCTATGATATCGCTTGCCAGTGATTTTTAAGGCAGCACTTCGTAACGGTTTTAGATGGTTAAAATCCGTCTCCTTTCTTTGTTAACGGTAGTGTGGAGTGCAGAAAGAAGTTTTGTTTACAACAGCATTATGGATTTACGCTAGTTTAAATATAGATTTTTATCATCATTGCTGTTTCCTGTGACGCGATAAAATGGCAGTGGTTACCTGTCGTTGGTTTTTCAGGGCGCAAGCGCCCATTAACCAATGTCAGGGTACCAGTCTAGCAGGTTTTGCTGTTCAGCCATGTTGGATTTCTTCATAATTAGATAATTCAAACCACTAATGTTCTTAATGCAAGTAATTAGATAATTCATACCAAGAAAAGACTTGACTTGTTATAACAATTGTTTGTTAAAGTAATACAAAGACAAAAACAAAGCTTTTTGACAATGTTTTTTAAGTGACTGGGTTTTCTGGGAGCTGGGAGGTTCCCAATTTAGCCTAATTGACGCTGAAATTCCCAATTCTGAGTAACCCAGCCCCCAGTCCCAAAGAACTGAAAAAAAAACACTGTAAAGACTGGTTTAACAAAAGAATTCAGGGGGTGTGCAATTAAAAAAAAATAAGCACTAGCCCACAGGCTAGTAGCAGCAATAAAGGTACTAGCCCCAAGTAAAGAGTTAAAAAGTTATTTAGCCCAAAGGGGGGGGGGGGGGGGGGAGAGTAGCAACTAATATTGAAAAAAAAAATTATCGTTGAAAAAGTCAGGGTTTTAATGACATTCTTTTTAAAATTAATGTTTAATTCTCATTAGTAAAATTGAATTATGTATAAATCAATAATTTTGATAGAAAATAAAAATGAATTTAAATGAATTATCTTATGAAAAAAAAAAACGATCGTTTTTGGAAGTAAATAAGTGAGGTAGTACTGCAAAATGGAAAAGATTATGGATTTACGAACAATTGAAGCATGCTGCCTGGAAATTTTTCATTGGTTTGGAATTTAAAAGCAACAAATGAGTGAAAATACCGATAGTGGTTTTCATGTATTACATTGGTAGCTTCAATTTTTACTAGCCCAAGGGGCTACCTCCGTGCTGAAAACTACTAGCCCGACCCCGAAAAATGGTAGCCCCAGGTGATGCTAATTGCACACCCCTGGAATTCATTCCTTCTGTTGTCAATTAGGGCTGGGATGAAACAACTCTTTGTATATCAATACATATCTTGATATTTGAGCCGAGATACGATATGTATCATGATATGTTTAATTGGTTATAAAATCTTTTTTTTGTATTGAAATGAACAAAACATTTATTCACATATGAGAATAATTTACCGGGTATGCAAAAAAGTATTATATCTGTTGTAAAACAAAATTATTTTATTATGCCCCGCCATGAATATGGCCGGGGCATATAGTGTTTGTCATGTCCGTCTTCCGTCCTTCTGTCCTTCCGTCCTTCCGTCTGTCCTTCCGTCACACTTTGCGTTTAGCTCTGTTCAAAGCTCAGTTTCAAAGAAACTATCCAAGATATTTTTATCAAACTTCATATGCTGATAGATATTGATGAGGGCTATGCAACTGCATCAACATTTTTTGACCTTGACCTTTCCTTTGACCTTGACCTCACTTTTCTTAAATTAGTGTTTAGCTCAGTTTTAAAGATACCATTCAAGATAGTGTAATGAAACTTCATATGTTGATACCTTCTGACGTAAGCTATTCAACTGCATCAACATTTTTTGACCTTGACCTTTCTTTTGACCTTGACCTCACTTTTCTTAAATTAGTGTTTAGCTCAGTTTTAAAGATACCATTCAAGAAAGTGTAATCAAACTTCATATGTTGATACATACTGATGTAAGCTATTCAACTGCATCAACATTTTTTGACCTTGACCTTACTTTTGACCTTGACCTCACTTTTCTTAAATTGGTGTTTAGCTCAGTTTTAAAGATACCATTCAAGATAGTGTAATCAAACTTCATATGTTGATACATACTGATGTATGCTATTCAATTGCATCAACATTTTTTTGACCTTGACCTTTCTTTTGACCTTGACCTCACTTTCCTTAAATTAGTGTTAAGCTCAGTTTTAATGAAACCATTCAAGATATTTTTAAAAAAACTTCATATCCTGATACATACTGATGTAACCTTTTCAACTGCATCAACATTTTTTGACCTTGACCTTTCCTCTGACCTTGACCTCACTTTTCTTAAATTAGTGTCAAACTTCATATGGTGATACATACCGATAAGAGCTATTCAACTGCATCAATATATTTCGACCTTGACCTTTTCTTTGACCTTGACCTCACTTTTCTTAAATTAGTGTTTAGCTCATTTTTAAAGAAACCATTCATAATATTTTCATCAAACTTCATATGCTTATACATACTGATGTAACCTTTTCAACTGCATCATCATTTTTTGACCTTGACCTTTCCTCTAACCTTGACCTCACTTTTCTTAAATTAGTGTCAAACTTCATATGCTGATACATACCGATGAGAGCTATTCAACTGCATCAATGTTTTTTGACCTTTACCTTTCATTTGACCTTGACCTCACTTTTCTCAATTTGTGTTAAAATGTTGCATTACTAATATACCCTCGGCGGGGCATTCATGTCCTATGGACATATTTCTAGTTCAAGTGGTGTTATTTATTATGTATTTCATATTTATATTTATACATATATATAGCATATTTACTTTATACATGTATATTAAACACAAAATGTTAAGTAAACAAAGAAAAACATATGAACATAAGTCAGTGGCAGATGGGTCCAAAAGAACATGAAAGTACTTGAGATGTGTATATGGGACGCTTGTGAAATGTATTAGATGCTCATGAATTTTGCACTAATACAGCCATTTGGGCATCCATAAAAATGGAGGCGCTCATGCATGGGGCGTTCTGGCTTTGGAATGAACTGACAGTAACTCGAAGTAAATATATTGTTCAACATGGTTATAATACACTGTAATAATTAGTCTCTGAGATAAAGATCTATTTTTGTACTGATGAATAAATACTGATCTGTATTTGTATGCAGGTTTGGAGAAAGCAGGGGCTCTTTTTGTACATTGGCAACTACCAAAGATGGCAACTTAGAAAATATGGCACACTCTATAAATATTGAAGAACTGTTGAGACAAGAGACAGAGAGACACAACCAACAGGTACAATAGTGTCTGCTAGGAAATGGATGTAAAATTACTGGTTTTTAACAAAGTTCTTCTGAAATGCATTGTGCAATTTTTATAAAGCTATTACAAGTGGAACTATTAGAAGTGGAGCCCCCTGAAAAAAAAATGAATTACTACAATGTCTTTGCAATTGTGCCAGGCTTGAATATCACCTAGGCAAAGTTTTGCATTTTAATGTATTGTCTTTTATTTCAGGTTAATATTGTGACTACAAGAACTAATATGAATGTGTCTCAAGCCAAGTTTACCAAGGGTATTCATAATGCCAACTATTATTCCAAGTTCCAGAACAACTTTTACAACAACCAACAATTCCAGAACACCCATAATCGTTTCCGTCCCCAAAACAAAAACAACAGAAAACAGGCACAGGTAATCACAGACCAACTTAAGGTGCAAAGAATTTCCTTAGGATATTTTGATGATAAGAAATATAATTGAAATAATCTTTTATGGCAGAAGGTTTGTAAATTTCACATATGGTACTGTGTATTGTTATTTAGAGAATTGTTTAATTTTGATAGCATGAAGAGCAAGTTAATGGAGTGAGAGTCTCCCCAGACCATGTGAATGAAGTCAGACAGCAATTTATGGACCAAGTCAACAGCATTGTTAAGGAGGGAGAGAAAGTGTGTGAGCCCAAACCTATGTCTCCAAACACAGCAAACTCCTCCTCATCTAAAAACGCAAAGACTGATACCTCTAGCAAGGCCCCCCTCTCCAACTCTACCAAGTCCACTCCCAGGTCTAATAATGATAATGAGACTACCAAGTCCAACACTGGTGGTTTAAAGTCAACCATTGAGAACTCGAAACCCAGCTCTGATAAGTCAAGTATGGATGTCAAATCTAACAGACCATCTCAGGCCAAAGGCAGGTACCAACCAGACCAGAATACCTCAGTCAAACCAGGCAGTTATAATGGAGGCAAGGGTACACACTGGCTCAATCGCACACACTCAAAATTTAATTCTCAGAAGGTGTATTAGATTTGATAAATGATTTGATTGGATGTGATGCAGGAGATATTTTTTGGTTAAAATAGATGGATAAAATGTGATTTTAGTGAAGTGAACTGGCTAAGAAAAGATTTTTCAGTATGTTCAGATGTGTAGGTGTTTTTTTTTTTAACTTGAACAAGAGATGTGATAAATTATCTAGTCTAGTGCTTCATTTTATTTCACTGCTGGTAAAACATCTTGTGCTCATTTGTAATGCCAGTTTTTAAAGATTTTTTTTTCTTGCCAAAGTAACCACTTGGCCATCAGGTTTTGTAAATAGAACAGCCAACTCCATTTCTGCTCACACATTTAGTCAGTGGTCATGAGAATTGTTAAATCTTGAAATGTTTATTGATATTTATCATGAAGAGTGTTGTATATGAGAGCTCTGTATATTTATGTGTGGTTTATATTGCCAGATCAGACACTGCCATTAAATACAGAAAGTTGTCAGAATGGCTGCCCGATTTTTTTGTTATTGTTGCTCCATTGATATTATGATTTCATTTTGAACATCTCAATTTGTCATAACCAGCATATGTAGCAGGTTGTATAGTCATAGGACATACATATGTATATATATGTATAATTTATATTTAAGTATATACAAGGTTAATTTCATTAGATGAAATGGCAGCAGATATTCCACGTAATATATTTACATAGAAGTCTCAGATCCATGCAATGTAAAACATAAAAGAACAGGGTACGAGTATCCGTCATTGATCTGTCAGCATTAATGGGCTCTTTACAGGGAAATCTGTATATATAAGGACTTTCCTTTCATTATAATTGATTTTGATTTAATATTTGTTTATTAATCATTTAAAAATTATATTTTCATTCAAGTATATTGTAACATTCAAGAAGGAGTGCATTGTATATATACACTACTCAGGATAAGAGAATGTATTGTTTTACTCGGGCTATTTTTTTGTCATGCATTTCACTGAGTGCTATGGATAATTGGAGGAGATGTACATTTAAGTTAATTTATTCCAGTGTTATATCTATTTGAAAAGGGAGACATTTGAAATTAATTGGGGTGTACTAAGATAACACATACAAATGAATTTGGTACTCAAGCATACATTTCCAATTGAATATGTTACAAATTCTGATCGTCCAGAGTTATCTGTGGCATCTCACGTTAAAAAGGATTACTGCTTTAATGTTAAGTAACTGTTTTTAGCTCTACTGGTCAGAGACCAGAAGAGCTTATGCGATAGTAAGGTGTCCGTCGTCCGTCCGTCTGTCTGTCTGTCTGTCTGTCTGTCTGTCTGTCTGTCTGTCTGTCCGTCTGTCTGTAAACAATTTTTCAAAACGCTACTCCTCCTACAGTTTTGGTCCGATTTCAATATAACTTGGCACACAAGTAGACTACACTAAGATACATAATTTAGTGCATCGGTTTTTGATTTTGATGGACGGTGTTGCTGTGGTTACTAAAAATAGAAATTTCTGTGAAATTCCTTTAAAACGCTACTCCTCCTACAGTTTTGGTCCGATTTCAATATAACTTGGCACACAAGTAGACTACACTAAGATACATAATTTAGTGCATCAATTTTTGATTTTGATGGACGGTGTTGCCATGGTTACTAAAAATAGGAATTTCTTTAAAATTCCTTTAAAATGCTACTCCTCCTACAGTTTTGGTCCAATTTCAGTATAACTTGGCACACAAGTAGACTACACTAAGATACATAATTTAGTGCATCAGTTTTTGATTTTGATGGACGGTGTTGCCATGGTTACTAAAAATAGAAATTTCTGTGAAATTCCTTTAAAACGCTACTCCTCCTACAGTTTTGGTCCGATTTCAATATAACTTGGCACACAAGTAGACTACACTAAGATACATAATTTAGTGCATCAATTTTTGATTTTGATGGACGGTGTTGCCATGGTTACTAAAAATAGAAATTTCTGTGAAATTCCTTTAAAACGCTACTCCTCCTACAGTTTTGGTCCGATTTCAGTATAACTTGGCACACAAGTAGACTACACTAAGATACATAATTTAGTGCATCAGTTTTTGATTTCGATGGACGGTGTTGCCATGGTTACTAAAAATAGAAATTTCTGTGAAATTCCTTTAAAACGCTACTCCTCCTACAGTTTTGGTCCGATTTCAATATAACTTGGCACACAAGTAGACTACACTAAGATACATAATTTAGTGCATTGGTTCTTGAATTCAATGGACGGTGTTGCCATGGTTACTAAAAATATAAATTTCTGTGAAATTCCATTAAAACACTATTCCTGCTACAGTTTTAGTCTGCTTCTAATATAATTAGGCATACAAGAAGACTATACTAAGATACATAATTAATTGCATTGGTTTTTGAATTCGATGAACAGTGTTGCCATGGTTACTTAAAATAGAAATTTTTGTGAAATTCCCATTAAATGTTACTCCTACAATTTTGGTCTGATTTCAATCTAATTTGGCACACAGTTAGAATACACTACGATACATAATATGTATTTCTGTTTTTTTTATTTGGGTGAATGGTGTTGTCATGGTTACTAAAAATAGAAATTTCCGTGAAATACTTTCACAACGCTACTCCTCCTACAGTTTTCATTTGATTTCAATATAACTTGGCACAGAAGTAGACTACATTAAGATACATAATTCTATTCATTGTTGCATGTTGCAATGTTTCAAATCCAAGTGCTACTTTTCTTTTGTTATACAAACAGACCAGTAGAGCTACAGTCTCATCAGAGACTTCTGGTTGTGTTGTGTACTTTTGCTATTTTGAATTTTCACCTGATGTCCCTCTCCCTAAAATGTTATCTATGGTAAGAAATGAAGTGCCTTACAGAGTCTTAAAAGCATTACACTTTACTTGGTGAATTGAATTGAGTGCAACAGTCTGCTTTATGACTTAAGTTTAATTCTTGCATGGTTATTTTATTTATAATTTGATAAATATAAAATTTAATGCATAAGTTTTTTTTCTTCAAAGAATAAAATGCTATAAAATTCAATATACTAAGAATTCAGGTATTGCATACTTGAATTGAAAATGCATGCATTAAGCTCTAGTGAATTGTCTTAAAGTGTTTCATTTAAATTCTTTTTAATCCAACATTTTAGTACATGTATGGTATTTTCTACTCTTTTTTTTGCCCCTTGCTTATCTGCCTTTACAGTAGAAGTGCTTTTCCTCATTTAAACCTCATAGTGGTTTTTCATTAATTTTTTTTGTATTTTTACCCTACATGGATGAATATTTATGTTTGAACACGAGTAAAGCTATGCCCTGAAAGATCTACTGTATCAAAAAATCATGTCACAAAATCTTATATAAATAAGTCCTCATTACATTCTATAAAATGCATATTTAGTGTTCTGTTTGATCTCTATGATTTTTGCTAATCATGTGCAATATGCCTATCTAGGTCATCTTCTAAACATTGACCAATCATATGATACAGACAAAATATGCATTTTTTTTTGGTGTAACCTTATTTTCATTCCATTTGATAGCATGTTTCTAGAAATCCCACAGACTCTTTCAGTGGCATTGATTACCTAGTATGTAGCCTAGTGTACATGTATGTGTAAATTGTTTTTTTATTTTGTGGTAAATCTCAGTAGGAAACCAGTCTCTTTATACCTGCCTCACAGAAAATCAAATGTTATTTGCATTCAGGAATTATTTTTTTCTTTCATAGCATTTTTGTTTTCTGATTTGTGATAGTCAGATCATTATTGACATGTGTGAAATTAAAATTCATTTTATTCAGCATGTGTACTGATGCAAAAAACACAAAAGCCTCATATATGAAGATCTAAAATGTTACACTTGTGCTACAGAGATGTTACCGGTTACTTTCAAAGAGATCTGGTTTAATAAATTTTTATTTAATGTACAGAGATGTTTGTTATTGTAAATGGAGTCTTTAAGCTAATGTAGGTCTGGAGAAACTTGACAAGCAGGGATATACAAACATGCTGATGTGAAAATTTGAATGTTCTGTTACATGTTCAGTTGTCTCCTTTCTATTATGTCTACAGGAGAAATCTCATCTAGTTTGTCAAAGGTTCTTGTACTGGAGAAACTATCATTCAGAGATATGACTGCTACAGAAAAAAGAGAAGCAAATATACTAAAGTATTCTAACAGTTTCTTTTACCTTCCCACGTATGTCTTGCAGAAGATACCAGAGGGGAAATCTTGGGGTTCAAATGATCACATAGTACATGTAAATGTGTTATTAGTGTGGTCCATAGGAAGTACATTGCTTGATCACAAATTAAAATCAGACTTCTTGGATCTGCAATGTATAAACATAAAAAAACCTGCGTAGAGTTTATGTGAATCTAGAAAGTGGTTTTCAATCATCAAGTATAGTAACCTTGTAATCTTGAACTGAATGGGGCCAAGAATTTTTTTTTTAAATATTGGAGGATACCAGATATTAGGGTTAGAGGAAAAGTGGTTGGGACTTCCAACTCACTTTGACATATCCATGGTAAAGATATCAATGTTTGAGATACTCAAGATCAACTGTAGTTAGTCAGTCTTGAAGTTAGAGGGAAACCTTAAAGCTATCTAAGGTTGGAGATGTCGGAAATATACTAGAATTTGGACTGTTACTGTACTTGGTAAAAATTGTTTATGTTTTGTTTAACGTCCCTCTCGAGAATTTTTCACTCATATGTAGATGCCACCACTTGCTGGTGGAGGGCTGCAAATTTTTTACCTATACTCAGCACTCAGGGCCATTGAGCAGTGAGGGATCTTTTTCGTGCCAATACCTACTGTGACACGGGACCTCAGTTTTATACAGTCTCATCTAAAGGACCAGTCTCCACGTCCCGCAGTAGATTCGAAACCACGACGTAAGGATCAGCTCCTTACTCCACGACTCTAGAGGAGACGCTCTAATCACTGTGACACAGTTGGTACAGCCAAGCAAGATTATTTTTTAAGCACTTTCAAGCACCCTTGGACAATAAAATCATGCAAATAAAAACTGACATAATATATTGATTGGGATTTTTAAAATTTTCCTTAAGTCAATTAACCTCTCACTTAATTATATTTTTTCATCTTTTTATGCCCCCATAATCAAAGATTCGGGGGCATATAGTTTTTTCCCTGTCTATCTGTCTGTCAGCAAAAACTTTAACCTTGCCCACAGCTTTTGATTGGTTGGAGCTATGGCTTTCATATTTCACAAGTGTATTCCTTTCACAAGACCTTTCTCTGGGTACCATCATATTTGACCTTGGAGTTTGACCCAATTCTGCAACATTTTACCCAACATTAACTTTGGCTATAACTTTTGAAAAGTTGGTGCTAGGGCTTTCATACTTCAAATATGTAATCCTTGTGACAAGCCCTTCCTTTGGATACCAAGAACTTTGACCCTTTGACCTTGGAGTTTGACCTTCTTTTGGGAAAAAAAAATAACCTTGGCCATAACTTTTGAACAGTTGGTGCTAGGGCTTTCATGCTTCAAATATATAATCCTTGTGACAAGGCCTTCCTTTGGATACTAAGACCTTTGACCTTGGAGTTTGACCTACTTTTGGTAAACTTTAACTTGGCCATTTCGTTTGAACAGTTGGTGCTAGGGCTTTCACACTTCACATACCATATACAAGAAAATTTTCGTCCCCGTTTTATTTTCGCCCCTTTCGCCCTACCCTCATTTGGGCGAATTTAAAACGGGGCGAATTCAAAGAATACAGTATAATTTCTTCAACAAAACTATGAGTGGGCGAATTTAAAACAGGGCAAAATTGTTTGCAAGTGTGAAAGGGCGAAAATAAAACGGGGCGAAAATAACCCTGTATACAGTAAGTAATCCCTGTGACAAGACCTTACTTTGGATACCAACAACTTTGACATTTGGCCTTTGAGTTTGACCTACCTTGAACCTTGGCATTAACTTTTGAATGGTTGGTGCTAGGGCTTTCATATTTTACATGTGTATTTCTTGTGAGAAGGCCTTTCCGTGGGCACCATTAATTTTGACCATGACCTTGATGTTTGACTCACTTTTGAAAAACTTTAACCTTTTCCATATCTACTCAATGGTTGCTGCTAGGGCTTTCATATTTCACAGGTATATTCTTCGAGACAAGTCCTTACTTTGGGTACCAACATATTTGATTTGCATTTGAGAAAGTTAAACCTTTGCTGTAAGTTGCCATAAGGGGGCATCAGTGTTTCACAAACACATGTTGTTGTAACTGGTAATGCTATAAAGGTAAATCAACACATTTTTGCTATACCTTTTTTAGCTCACATTAGCTGAAAGCTCAATCAACCATTCTCCAATCATTTATCTGTTAATAAACTTCTTATTTTAGACTTCAAGAACCACAGGGCTAATTTTAACCAAAATTAGCATAAAGCATCCTTGGTTTAAGGGGATTCCAAATTATTCAAATGAAGGGCCAAACCTGCTTCCAAGGGTGGATAATCAAGAAAAGGCAAATAGGGTGGGGTCATTAAAAAATCTTCTCAAGAAAGGGCCAGAAGAGGTGACACATGTGGAAGCTTCCTTAGGAAGTGTAGATTCTAAAACGTTCAAATGACCCTGGGGGTTAGGATGGGGCCACAATGGGGAATAAAAATTTTACACTGAAATATATAAGAAAAATCTCTAAAACTCTTCTTCTCGAGAACCACTGGACTACAAATAAGAAGCCCAAGGGCCTTGAATCGCTCTTCTGAAAAACCGTACAACCTATCACTTCTATTTCAAGCCTCTAAGTAACCTGTATATTTAGTTAAAGCCTTGAAATTCCAAAGGTAGGTCATCATGACCTACATTTTAGATGAAACACTCTGAGAACCCAGGATGATTCTAAGCCAATTAGTACCCGAGAGTAGGTCATGGTGACCTACTTATCACTTGCCATTCTCTGAGGACCCATGATGCATCAACTAAATTTTATGATTCTAAGCCAATTAATACCTAAAATATTTTTAAAATTATTACCATAAAATTTCAAAAGTACGTCACAGTGACCTACTTTTCAGATGACATACTTTGAGGACCCAAGATGCATCAACTGACAAAGTTTGATGATTCTAAGCCAGTTATTACTTGAAGTATTTAATTCAAGCCATAAATTTTCAAAAATAGGTCATGGTGACCTATTTTTCAGTCGACCTACTCCGAAGACCCAAGATGTATCAACTGACAAAGTTTGATGATTCTTAGCCAATTAGTACCCGAAAAATATTTAATTATAGTCATATAAATAAAAATTGAAAAGTAGGTCACAGTGACCTACTTTTCAGCTGACGTTTTTGAGGACCCAAGATGCATCAACTTACAAAGTTTTATGATCATAGGCCTGAAAATGTCCGAATTATGCCTCTTAAATGCTTTGAAATTGCATGCCTGCACAGTTAAAAAAGTAGGTCACTGTGATCTACTTTTTAATGAATATGTTTTATGGCCCCAAGATGCATCATCTTACAAGATTTAATGATTCTAAACCTCTAAGTATTCAAATTAATGACCTTAATTGTTTTGAAAAAGATTAGCCATAAAATTCAAAAAGTAGGTCAAGATGACCTACTTTTTAGGTCCGAGGACCCAAGATACATCAACTGACAAAGTTTGATGATCATAGGCCTTAAATTGTTCAAAATATGCCTCTAAATCATTTTGAAAAAGAATGGCCACAAAATTTAAAAAGTAGGTCACCATGACCTACTTTTGAGTCAGCATGATATGACGTCCTTAGATGCATCAACTGACAAGATTTGATGATCTTAGTCCTTATAGTAAGCAAAAAAATCAACATTTTAATAAATGTAATTTTTAGATTTTAATCTACAACATATCCTCATCCTTTTGTGCAATTTTGGTGATAATCTGCCCAGTGGTTCTCGAGATTTTTTAGCAACCAGTACTTTTGTTTCTATTTTCCTAATTATCTCCCCTTGTTTAAGGGTCACAACCCTAGTTTTAGTATAAACGGGAGCCCTTGGGCCAAGAATACCCTGTGACAAATTTGACAATTGGCCAAGGGGTTCTTGAGTCATGGCCAATATTCTAAAAAGTTTACGCACACTGCACAAATGGCCATAGCATAAGCTCTTTGAGCCTTTGGCTCAGAAGAGCTAAAAATTACACTTACGTGAAAGCTTCCAGACATGACGTAGATTGTAAATTATTCAAATCATGGATGCCGTGGGTAGTATGGGGTCACAATGAAAGATCAAAGTTTTACAATGACATATATGGAATAACTTTTAAAATTTTCCTCTGAAGAACCACTGGACTAGAAAAGATGAAATTTAAGTGAAAGCTTCTAGACATAGTGTAGATTTTTAATTGTTCAAATCATGCATGCCGGGGTTAGGGTTGGGCTACAATAGGGGATGAAAGTTTTACATTGAAATGTACAAGAGAAATCTTCTCAAGAACCACTGGGCCAGAAAAGGTGAAACTTATGTCGACGCTTCCTAAGTATTAGGCCAGGTAAAATTAATCTTTAGATTCTCATCCCCGCCCGCCCCTCTCAAAGTGCCCCGCCCCGTTGTTTTTTATTTTGCTTTTTGGGTGCCAAACGTATTATTTTCATGTATTTTTATTCAGCAAGAATCTGGGTCAAAATTTAAGAGTTATCTCCCGTCTGTATTAAAAGTCGCGTGGCGCTATTTATAGCAAAAAAACTACGTGAAGAATGGAGAAAAATCGGCAATAAAAGCAGTTTAAATATGTAAGGAAAAGATAATTTGTTAGTAAAGAGAAGGCAGAAAAGCAAAAATAACATATAAACACATCTAAATACCATCACTGGCATGGGCAAGTTTTTAAAGAGATTTTAATCAAGTAAAAACAGACGAAGAAAATACACATGGTCAAGTTTTAAATAACGATCTCTAGATGTATGTGATTTTGCATTAAAAAAATAAAACATCGTCCAAAGACTTTAGAGAATAATAGTGCTAAGGAAATGTTAAATCTTAAAACTGTTCAGGCCTAGGCTTTTCAGTAGAATATTTTACAGATTTACACAATCCTGTTTTGCAAATATGATGTATTTTAATGTCGAACATGTCAAGTCTCAAGAACGATTGAATTATCAGGATAGTGTAAATCTGTGATATCTGTATATCACACAGAACAGGAGTTGTTGGTAAAACTATAAGGTATTTGGGAAAAGGCCGATGAGAAAACATGCATATGCAATTTATTAGGATCAGCACCTCATTTTGTTTGGCGTGTGCCGTATCCGTGTACTTGATAATTTGTTAATAAAACTAACATTATATATATTTTTAATTTTCTATAACAAGAATCTTCTGTAGATATTTAAAAGAATATGAAAACAATAAAATCTATTCATATTGGCATTAACATACTGTAAAATTTACGTGTACGAATGTTTTGTTGATACTTTCAATTAAAAAATAAAAAATAAAATCCGCCCACCCGCCCCAATTTTTAAGCAAATTAGGATGAGAATCTAAATTTTAAATTTATATGGCCTAATGTAGCTTCTAAACAGTTCAACTCATGGCCCCCTATGCTAATCAAAGCCATGCTGTTCTGGAGATTTTCACAAAAAATTTCCAAATATTGTGTCAAACTTTCATCCCTTAATGTGGCATCATCCTTCCAAGATGGGTCATGATCTTGAACAGAATTTAATCTACGTCATATCAGGAAGCTTTCCTAGAAGTTTCCTCTTTTCTAATTCTTGAGATGACCCCACCAAATTTTCATTTCTTAATTATCTCTCCTTGAAAGAAGGCATGGCACTTAATTTGAATAAATTGGAATCCTCTTCAACTTACTTTGTGGCAAGTGTGGTTGAAATTGGCCCTGTAGCTCTGGAAAACTCATCGAAGGTGAACATGTGAAACTTTACCAACAACTTGACAGACGGGCTCATTTAATCAGAAAAACTCCAGGCTTTGGATCAGGTGACCTTCAAATTACATTGCTAACCTCAACAGAGGACATGTTCACCAAGTCACTTAATATATATTTCATCATTGCCCAACTGGAACTTCAAGTTCAATACGTAGTATACAACCCAACATAAATGCCAAAGATGGTCCGGGAAGGGAGTCAACAACTGTTAAAAATTCTTTCTTGGTTCAATGAATGATGAAAACTGATAACAAACATGGGGTTAATTAATGTGAGATCCTTCATGAAAAATGAAACGTAATTGAGAATTATTTTACTTTATTAAAAGCAACTCATTTTATTTGGTAAAATAAATAACATGAATACATTTTCTCATGTACTGTATATATTATCTATGAACAAATAATTTCCAATCTAAACTTGAGTGTTGTGTTTGGTCAATTCCAAATGCTGAGTTAAATCTTCATAAATGTCTCTGAAAAAAAAAAAATTGAAGAAAATTACATTGGGATATCAAGCAACGTATTAAAGTATAAAAACTACACGTGTATATCAAAATACAGTTGAACTTCGTGTAATATCTCAAACTTCAGTATCTTGAATACCATAGGTATGTAAAAGTGAGTTAAAAGTCCCAATCGTTTTTTTCTTAATGCATTTTAACCTTGATATCAGATATCTTGATTTTTTTTCTGGGTCCAATCGGGTTTGAGATAAAGAAGTTTCAATGTATTACAAAGTCTATTTTATAAGAGCCATTTTACAATAATGAAAAAATCTTGTTTATCAGTTTGACCTGTAACAGAAAAGTAAAACACAGCTACAATGAACTGACAGGGATCACTTTGGGCTGTTCCCTTAGCACACATTTGTAAATGATGCACTGAAAACTAGGGCTGTGCAATAATATCGATATTCCAGTATACTGCGATTCATTAACAAAAAATATCGTACTGCGATACATTTTTCCAGTAGCGATATACAGGCAAACTGCTGAGCTTTAGATTTCTTATTAAATAAATAAAATATGAAATTTTAAATGTCAGAAACGTTTTCAATCATGTCAAACAGTACCAAACGGTAAGGTTGCTGTTGTATGGTTGTATTTTGTTCCAAAACTGTAGTGAAATCAACAACAAAAATTTGTAGCAATGTAATAGTTTTACACCGGTTGCTTAAAGATGGAGGTGAATAAAATAAAAAAGAGCATTTTAACCGTCATTGAAAATATTGCAATACATGTATATCACAATACGAAATTTCCAGCCAATACCCAGCCCTACTGAAAATCAGTCTGGCACAGGAAATACCATAAATCTGGAAGTTTTTACGTCGATTTATTTTTGTGAATCTGGGTCATAAAGATGTTCATTAATTTTTCAAGTTTCAAAATTTTGCGAATTGACATTGGTGCTAAAATTAAAAAGTGCTTAAAATTTTCATAGCAGTTTATAAGTTACACACGTGGTACGCATGTACATACAATATTAAACGATGCCAACATTCAATAATCGGATTATAAATTACGCATGTATATACAATAAATTACGCATGTACATACAATAAAAATTTTACGCATGTACATACAATACTAAACAATGCTAATGTTCAATAATCAGATAAAAATATTACAACAGATAAAACATCTACACTATTTAAATTTTTCATAACATTTTAATAAACCACGCTTGTGCATAAAATATATAAAACGATGTCAGCTTTAACTAACCATCAGAAAATAACGTTTGTTGGCCTCTCTTTCTTAGAGAAATAATTTAAAAGAGACATACTGCCTGTCAAACCATCGGACGATATTGAATGTAGTGAAGGCATTCGTATGCACAGATTATCACGGGTAATTAGCTTGTAGTATAAATAGTTTTCTTAAAATTACCACTGCTTAGGAACATCTGTTCATCTTGTTAAAAATAGCAATTATTTTTTGTTTTCATTTTTTTGTTGTTGATTTATTTTTTAAGAAATATATTTTTGCGAATGCAATGCACGCGCAAATTTGCTAAAAATTTATCTACAGTAAAAATTTCCAGATTTACGGTATATAAATATAGGCACGTCTTACTGGTACAGCACTAATCTATCAACATGACCGATGGAAAATACATGTAAACGAACTCCATCATGACAGATCAGTATCAAAATTTTATATTCTGCCAATAAAGTCATGATCAACCCAACTCCTCTGGACACATAATTTTTGAGGCAGCAGAGCATCCGGTTGAGCGTGACTAATACAATTCAATTACTTGGAAAAATTGGATTCAATGTAAAACACCTGTTTACTGCTTGTATAAGTAATGTGGCTTCTTCCACCCCACACTAAACGATCGAAAAGATTACACCTCAATGAACATGACACCTGCAACTTCAATATCTTTACTTTTTACACTAGCTTTTATATTACATACAAGTTCACAATGCCTACATAATTTGGGAGGCAAATACAGGGTTGTTGAAACTATTTAAACAATATGGTGATTAATGAAATTTTTTGAAATAAATTTCATGTAAATATATGAGTTGCAAAAGGGGAATTTTTTTTTGGTGAGTTGGGATTTGGGTCACTGCACGCCCTTTACCCTAGGGTACTCTGTGACTGAAGTTAAAACCACATTGGCAACATAAAAAGAAATTATACTCCAGACAAATGGCTAACAGGAGGGCACAGAAGGACAGACAGCTGATTCCTATAAAGCACCTGCATAGCAGGGCCCTTTTACCACAATAATAAGGGAACTGACTTGTTGAGGTAGAAGAATATGTATCCACTTCTCTCTCGACTTGACCTGATTTCTGATTCTGTTGTTTTAGAGACATGAGAGTCATCAAAGCTGTACCAGCAACTTTTCTCTGCATCAAAGACATCACTGATGTAGTGTCCTAAAATAGAAAAGACATCACTGATGTGTCTTAAAATAGAAAAGACATCACTGATGTAATGTCCTAAAATAGAAAAGACGGTCACTGATGTAATGTTGTTAAATACAAAAGAAATGTTCTCACGTAACTTTTCAACCATAGACATTTGATTTGATATTAGACTCTGTACATCATCACTGATGACATTTCTACTTCCAAACCGGTAAACAATTCAAAATTCACATACATGTAGTAACAGAATGATGAAGGAACTTTATGTACATTAAATACTTTCTTTGAAAATTAGCTAAACAAAAAAATTGAAGTCAAGGTCAAAGGAAAGGTCAAGGTCAAAAATGTTGATGATGTTGAATAGTTCTTATCAGTATGCATCAGGATATAAGGTTTGATAAAAATAGCTGATACAATATACAATTTCTTTGAAATTGAGATAAACACAAATTTAAGAAAAGTAAGGTCAATGTCAAAGGTCAAGGTCAGAAAATGTTGATGCATTTGAATAGCTCTCATCAAAATGTATCAGCATAAGATTTTTGATAAAAATATCCTGAATAGTTTCTTTGAAACTGAGCTCAATGGAAGGACAGAGGGACGAAAGACAGACATGACAGACACTACATGCCCCTGCCACTTCCATGGTGGGGCATAAAAATGGGTAAAATGTTATGGATATTGACTTTCTATCTAGACTCCACTACTTAAAACCATATGGAGTAGGCAAAATTTGAGGTTTAATGAGTTTGCATTTTAAGAGCTATGGAATCAGAGTTTAATATTCTCTTGTGAATATACACAATTAAAACCAATATAAATCACTTTTTTGATTATATATTATATATCATAGATATATGTCATATTTACTTATAGTCTTTCTGCTCTGAAAGCAAGCTCATAGCCTAACAATAAGATAATAAAAGCTTTATTAGTAACTCAAGTTTTATCATGTCAGCTAAGACAAAATCAGTTTTTCTCACCAACAAATGAACTGGTTCCTATGTGATTCACCACACTGACTAGACGATAGGACTGAGGCATATCTCCTTTCTGAAATACAAAACAGAAATCCACCTAAGTAAAGCTACAGTGTATACAGCTTTTCATGGTCAGGTACATTACATGTTAGTATAAACTTTCCTGATTCAAGTATTCAATTCAATCTATTGAAAACACCATGCTGGCATACTATTTTTACAGGACTACAATGTATTTAAGTACATCATATAAAAGTTTCTACCAACACCTTTCTTATAGAATTTATATATCAATGCCGATCTCCACATGGTATCAATTGCTTTTGAAAAGTCAACATATCATGCACACAAGTTTTGTTTCTCTTTACACAATACTAATTGACTAAAGTTTTAGGTATAAAAATGTTATCTGTTATTCATGAAAAGATTCATCTTAGAAGTGCATGTACATTTTGTGATCACTGAGTATACAGTTTTCTGTTACCTCATTGCTAATGATGTACATTTTGTGATCACTGAGTATACATGAACTTTTCTGTTACCTCATTGCTAATGATAGGAAGTTCTTCAATCAGACAGGTGTCCTCCTCCACAGGAGATGAGGGCTTTTTGTTTTCCTTGTCTTCCGAGGAGCACCAGGGCTCATCAAGCAATAACACATCTGTCAAACACAGCAAATATTGGTAATCTATTGACATCAGAAATCAGGTTAATTTTACAAATTCAGCAGCTTGTTACATTTTAGTAAATAAGTGTAATAATACTGTACGGACATCTGTACAGCTGTACCTTGGTCAAAGTCCTCGTCATCAAACATGGATTTAAAATCACTTGCAGTACTCAGCTTAGGAACAAAGCTGCCTTCCTGCTGTATACTACCCCCATTCAATGATGACAGAGGCTTTCCACTGGTGATTTTGTTTCCATTGCAGTCAGAAGCATCTGTCTTACACTTACACTCCTGTTCCATTGCAGAGTTTCCTGCTTTATTTGTATCACAGACATCGCATTTCTCTTTTGTGGCAAAATACTTTGATCTATAAGTTACAGAGTCATCAACAGTTTTATCTTTAGAGTCCACAGTATCTTGGTTTTTGTCATTTTCCAGTCCATTCTGTAAGCAGGTCTCATACACTAAAGCACTGCACTGTTTGATTATGTCCCCTCCCTTGTTTTGCTGAGTTTGTTCTATATCACTGGTGTGTTTATACAGATTCTCCTCCTCAGGATCTGGTAAATAGTTTGTCTGTTCAAACTCTCTCATACTCTGCTCTATAGCAATCCTCATCTGTTCTTCCTCGGACATTCCATTGAGATCAGAACCATAATCTACATAATCACAAATGTCTCATAAATGTAACCAAATAATTCGTTATATTCCATTGACTAAATTTATATTACAGCATTTCTTCAAAGTGCACATCAAACATGCTTTTGTAATCTTATATCTATAATCTAATTGGTATATACTTTGAATAAACCCATTTGACATGTACTGTATATTGTCAAAAAGCTGAATCAGCAAAAACTATTCTCTGCAGACAATTATTGCTACTGCAGTGTAATCCTGTGCTGTTTCTGTTATATAAAGGATTACTCAATCAATCTACTGGTGGTTTATTTCTATCTAGAACTACATAACTGGTTATAAAAAAAAAAAAACATGCACATAATGTAGTGTATACCATGATCAGGTTGTGGTTGAGCTGACTCTAGTCGACTCATCTCTAAAGCTTTCTGGAAATCGGACTCTTCCATTCCCCCTCCATCTACCTCATCACCATACTGGTCTTGCTGTAAGATATTATAACTGAGAGAGGGCAACAATTGGGAGCTAAAAAAACTTGCATAACAATGTCCCAATTCTATACATAATTGAAACAAAATTGACATTCATATAGGGACCAACAATAGTGCCTTTATCCATAATTTTACCCTTAACCTTTAACCAAGTGACATAAAATCTATCAGTGACTTTGTTCGGCCTTAACTTTACCCTTAACCTTTAACCAAGTGACGTAAAATCTATGAGTGACTTTCTTCAGCCTCTCAAGCAGGCTATAAAAATCCAGTTTTTGTAGTATAATGATTATGTGAATATTTTGACTTAATCAAATGACCCTGAAATCTCTGTCTGTAACCTTGATACCTGTGCTCGTTCATTGGCCTCCTGCAGGGACAACTCCAAGGCTTTAGCAAGGTCTGGATCTTCTTGTGAATCAGCCAGCGTTAAAGTCTTAAAAGGCTCTCTTTTCTTCTCCTGAAAATAAAAGCCACATTTTAATAAATAAACATAAAATCTGGAACCAAATACTTAAGTAGAAATGTTCCATTTTATGAGGCATCTTCTTCTAATGACAGAGACACTTACCATGTTCTCTGAATTTTCCTGATTATCTTCTACTTTCTGTTTCTTGCTTGGAGAACTTGATAAAATGTCTTCATCAGAATCAAAAAGAGGGAGAACTCTGGATTTTTTAAACCTAAAACTGACAGAAAATTTCATACATGTACATTGCATATTTATACAAATTAGTACTACACAAAATTGAAGGCAAAAAAAAAAACATTTAAAAATTCTTTCTGCAATACCTGTTGTTCATGTCTAATTTGCGCCTTGGAGTGCTTTCTTTTGGAGAATCCACCAAGCTTTTCTGTGGACTAAAAACAATATTTATATTAAATCTGTTGGCAAATGGCAACTTTTAGATGAAGTGACCTATTTTTAAGAACAAATAATTTTTTAATGGATGCATATAAGCCCGCGGTAGTTTATCATGCAGATACTGGAGGTTCTAATCTGACATAACAAACTGCTTAAGGCTTCTTCCTTTGTTCCACAGCTATAAGGTTGTATGCCGATATCTGTTGATGTAGCCAAAAGTATAAACTATTGACAATTAGACCTGGAAATGCCATGTTCTTATATACAAAAGTGATTATATTTAAAAAATCATTTTTTATGAAAGACCCTTGAAATAAACAGATTTATTTTATATCTACATGTGAATAATTTTTTTTATTCATTTTTAATGAAATATTCCTATGTTCCTGTCTGACAAATTATATTCTCTACATGAAATCATCAATGGAAAGAAAGTAAATGGTAGCACTGATTTGGATTTTTGTGCATGTTTATTGCAAATTTCTGCAATACATTCATGTATGACATCCCTATCTATGAGATGCTGAAATCCCCTTCTTATTGAAGAAATTCTTTCAACACAAATTTGAAAAATTCAGATAGTTTACTGGTGATGCTGCATAGGATATTTTGACTTTAAATGTCAAATTTAATGTGATGTATATGTGTTACTTTTCCATTTTGTTTTACTTGAATTATTACTAGCAAGAAGATAATACCTTTATACATCTATTAGGAAAACATATATCCACTTCTTAGCTATCAAAAATGTTACAAAAACCCAGTAATTTTATCACACATTTTGAGGAGTACCTTGGAGGAATAGGCAGTGGCCAGCTGATGGGGTAGGGTTTATTTGTATCCTCCACACAGTGGTGATGCAGGCTAAGGTACTTAGGAATCACTATATTCTGTAACATCTTGGACTGGATTGTAGATGCAGTGTTGTAATTGTAACGTTTAAGATGTAAAATCAATACCCTAAATAATTAAAAACATATTATAATGTAACTACACTAGTTTTTCAATTACTTTAGATATTTCAAATATAACCACTAACATATCTATGAAATAAACTAAAATTTTACACTGCCACATTGCACTATCTTATTCAGGGTTTCAAATCCTTTGACACTGAAATGTCTTTCGATCATACACATCAATGTACATGTATGTAAGCTTACAACATCTTTCACTAGAGCCATGTCTTAGTTCTGTCACAGTACAACAGTGAAATAACACTGAGAGGAATAAGGGAATTTCTATGTACCTTCATCTGGAAAAAAGGGGGCATGAAACAGAAGAGGGTATTTTTTACCTAGGTAGTCTGGTGAATTTATGAGAAACCTCAGCCTTACAGCAGCCACATTTCTCACATCTATACTCAATTGCTTCCTTCTTAAAGAATAGGTCTAATGCATTTTGGATTGTACAGGGTGTAGATCCAGTTCTGTAAAAGGAAAGAATTCCATCAAAGTTACCACTAACAATACATAGATACAGAAAAAAATGTCAGTATTTCACTAATATACACAAAGATTTCAACTATTCCTATTTCCTCAGAATTTTAAGATTTTTTTTTACCAAGAAGCAGGGTGGTCTTAATGCTTAAATAGCTTGTGTCATGGGTGCAGTATTACTTCTTTCTTAACAATTATGTGGTTTGTATCATGATTGTAGTATTACCTCTTTCTTAACAATTATATACTTTGTATCGTGGTTGTGGTATTACCTCTTTCTTAATTATGTAGTTTGTATCATGGTTGTGGTATTACCTCTTTCTTAACAATTATGTAGTTTGTAACATGGTTGTGGTATTACCTCTTTCTTAACAATTATGTAGTTTGTATCATGGTTGTGGTATTACCTCTTTCTTAATTATGTAGTTTGTATCATGGTTGTGGTATTACCACTTTCTTAATTATGTAGTTTGTATCATGGTTGTGGTATTACCTCTTTCTTGGCATCTCCAAGGAGAGATCATAGAACTGCTCAGCTTTTGTCACCTTTTCTGAGCAACTGAAAAAATAATCATCAAAAACCTGAAGGGCTTCAATGGCATTTTACATAAAAAGCAACCAAAAGTCAGGGCTTTTGTTATAAAAATGTTAACAAAATATCCATTATAGTTGTGAAGCCTTATGCCAAGTCCAAATTAAACTGGGTTTGAATAATACTGACACCTTCAAAAGTTAGTTAACAATGACAATATCAAAAACCTTACCATATTTTTTCCAATATACATGTCTATAATAGTCAATCTATTGGTCAATTGGAGAACTTGGGAAAGAAGGTGGGTGAACATGACGAGCGAAAAGCCTATAGTGTGACAAACATGAAGGTGAAAAATTAAATCTCAATTATATCAAAATTTTCATTGATATTTCATCTAACATTAAAATATACTTTATGTAAAATCTCTACAAATTGTAAAAATCTCAAGAAGATTGAAATTATTTGCTTATGAAGTATTGTACACACACTAAAGAGGGCAAAAAAGAGTCATTTTCGCATACTATAACACTACTTTTCGATATGAGTGGATCTTCGCTCCATTTTTTTGAAAGTTAATCCTCGAAGTTTGCATAAAAATATACATTTTTTGGTTTCCAAAAATATGGAGCAAAGACCCACTATACCTTAAAAATATACTTTTATGACATATCATTCGCATCTTTTCGAGAAATACTTGAAGTCCATTAAGTCAAGGGTCATATCACAAACATGATTTAAATGCCACTATTCATCAAGACTTGTGTAGTCTAGTGGTTAGCGTGCTAGTCTCGAAAGAAAATGATACTCAGGATTTTTATTACGAGGGTTCGAACCCCACGATAACCACATTTTTTTTAATGAATGAATAAATTTTGCCGAGAAAATTTTCCTCAGAAAAGTTTTTTTTATCATAATTTCATAAATTTCAATAATGAGAACTTTACTCTAAATACTGAATTCACAAATTGAACATGATTTTTATATATCTGAAGCTATAGGCTTTCTGCACGCTATGTTCGCCCATCTCCTTTACTTTAATATTATTCCATTCATCAGTATTTAAGCACTGCTTTTTAGTATATTTAACTTACACAATATAATCAGCTTGAAAATCAAATGCAGAAACCCATATATATATTATGGTTCCACATTCTTTTCTTTTGTTAGCCAAATCCAGTATGAGTTATACATTGTATTCATTGCATTTTAAAATAAAACTGATCTCTGTTCTTTTCTTCTACATCATAAGACTGACACCTTTAGTTCTTTATACATGTATAACACTGAGCAATCCCTAGATGGCTTTTGAGCTTTGCTTAATGCCACAATAACAACTATAGTTTGATTGCACATTACACAAACCATATCCCTGACCATTCACAATTACCTATATAGAAGCACATAATTAAATGAAGCCTACTTTGTACATGAAATTGTGTGGGTCACTTCAAACTCAAAATTCTGCAGTGTTGGGTTAATGAGATCTACTGTCTCAGTTATCTCCCTTGGACTGCGGCTTGGACTGGGTGTTGACTTCATCACTTTGGCTACTTCCTCTTTTAGCTGATCCAGAACCTGATTCAGAAATTCATGGGCATCCTGCCATAAATAAATAAAAACATAAATAAATAAAAACTTATACAGATAATTACAGACATGCAGTGTTTGAAATCAAAAGTCTCTGGTGAGACTGTGTCTCAATCGTTCGAATTTGTTGAGATTAATTGGCAGGGTCATTGGTCTTACACTTTCTAAGCATGTAACAGGTTTCATTCAAACCAAAATGTAAGAAAAGTAGCAACTGAAAGAACTTAAAGTAAGAGATTATTGTATAATACAAAAATAAAATACTGTCTGAGAGAATGATGCATTATAATGTATTCCATGCCTCAAGCTTGATTGATATTTGACCTTCACTAAAGCTTGAGAGGCATTTTGTGGACCTCAAATATTTCAGTACAAATCAAACAAGTTCTCACATGTTGCTGGTAGCCAGAAAATCTTTTGGCACTTGAGGAAATCGCTTGTTTAACATTCCTGAGTAAATCCCTCTTGGAAAAGTCTGACAAAATCCGCTTACGTGAACCATGCAGTCGTACCAAAGATCTGAAATAAAATATAAAGTTTCTTGACAACAATCACTAAAAATTTTGAGAATATGTAAACTGTATAATTATTGGTAAGTGGTTATAAAATTAAGTTGCTTGTTCACGGTGATGAGTAGGGTTACTGATAAAGTGACTGGAGAGGCACACTTATACAATGACTTGAAAAGTCGACTTACTAATAAAATTCCTTGTAAGGTACACTTACTGTTACAATGATTTGTTAGGTTAACTTACTGATACAATGAATTGTGAAGTAACTTACTGATATGACTTGTAAGTAGACCTACTGATACAATGACTTGTGAGGTAGACCTACTGATACAATGACTTGTGAGGTAGACCTACTGATACAATGACTTGTGAGGTAGTCTTCTGATACAATGACTTGTGAGGTACAGCTACTACTAACAATGACTTGTGAGGTAGACCTACTGATACAATGACTTGTGAGGTAGTCTTCTGATACAATGACTTGTGAGGTACAGCTACTACTAACAATGACTTGTGAGGTACATTGACTTGTAACTTAAATTAATGATACAATGACTTGCATGGTAGACTTACTGATACAATGACTTGTGAGGTAGAATTACTGATACAATGACTTGTGAGGTAGAATTACTGATACAAATTGTGAGGATGACTTACTGATACAATGACTTGTGAGGTAGAATTACTGATACAATGACTTGTGAGGTACACTTACTGACACAATGATTTGACATGTATGTTAACTTGTATGGTAGACTTACTGATAGAGTGACTGCTGAGGTAGGCTTCTGGAGATTTTACGACTTATGTGGACTAAGTCTCTGGTAAAAGGTTCTAAGTGAAACAAAGACTGGAGAATGGCATTCATGTAACAGGTGTTGCCAAGGTTGGAAAATCTGCAAGAAAGCGATTAATAACCTATTTTTTGTAAAAATAGCCATACACATGCAGTCCATATTATTCAAAATCCTATATTGTCCATAAATAAGTAATAAACTTTAATGTTTTTAAAAAAATGAATAGATAAGCATTTAAACAATCAACAAAAATTATTTCAAAATACCCTGAGAGCTGAGTGCTATCTTTCTGGGGTAAAGAGAGCTTGTTTTTGGACCAGGAATAATTAACTCCAGTTGAAAGCCTTGGGGTAGGATCTGGCATCAGCTCCAGCTTTTTGCTTGAGGATCCAACACTGTAAAGTAATTCAGAACAATTTTCAAGCCTTAAAGCTTTCCATACAAAACACTTGTGTATATACTTTCTTGTGATTCATTATTTGGTGACATTTTATTACCTTGCAGAAGAATAGCCGGTAAATAAGCTGTGTTTAGAAGAATTATAAAACTTGGGCGTACGGATTGTGTCCACAGAGCAAGACTGTTTAGTTATGGCATCACTCTTCTCCAGACCACGAAATAAAAAATTCTCCTTCTCTGAGCTACAATGGATTAACTTTTGTGAAAATGAATTAATGTACCATTCCATTTCGAATAACATGTATATGTAAACTTTAAACAATAAAACAATTCCTATCTGTGATATTACCTGTCATATTTGAATGCTACATGTATTTACAGCTAGATCCTCAATATCTGCATATAATCCAAAATTTGGATTCTATAATAAAATTCCATGTATTCTCTGAAAGTCACTAAAATAATCACTTTTGCTTACTACACTAATGCTATTGCTGTAGAATGCCATATAATTTAAATCCTTGTATTTACCCATTATTTTCACTATACTCTTCATCACAGTACAATGACACCTGGTCATCCCTTCGAGAAGGAGGTTCCTTCATGCTGAAAACAGAACTAAAACTTCAAAGTTCTTCTTTCAAATATATAGATTAGAGGCTTCAAACTATATACAGAGAAAATAGGGTTCAGCATTTACACATAAATATGATTTAAGAGTTGACAAATTGTGAACCAACTTTTCCTTATAAAGCATTTTCTTTACCATTCGTCCCTAACACATATACTGTCTGTGACATTTCCTTTCTTGATTTTTCCTTAGCAAGTTATCTTTCTAACATCACAAAGTCATGATTTCTTTCTCCGTTGTTAATTTCAATTGTAAAATTTGCAAAGGTTAGCAGCAAGTGAAGAAAATTTGAGCCAAGGTACCAAATAACAAAATCTTCAATTTGTAGCATATAAAAGATTTAGTAAAGCTCATGTGGTGCATACCTGATATAAACTAGACTATAGAAAAAAAATAATCGTAAAGCTCTTAAGCATTACTACATTTATAACACCATTAACCATACTTTTAAATTCTGAAACTCATGCCCTGTATTTTTGAGAAAAACTACCTGGTAAACTGTTGCGGTATGTCTTGTTTGGAGGATTTTATATTCTGTGACATGGGACTTTCTTCTAACAGACCAGACCTCGAGATCACACTTTTATCTGCAAATTCAACAATGCAATTCAACTTGGCTTTACACTCTTGAAATACCTTAAAAAGTGTTTCTTTTTTAACTAATAATCTAATGTGGATTAAACATATATAACCTTCTATAAGTATCTTTCAATTTGCCAAAAATCATGTTTGTACTAGCTGTATGTAGCCCTCTCCGATTTTTTCATCTGATGTTTTAGGAGAGGGCTACAATTCCATAGGATCTCCGTAATGGTGCAAATATAATTTTTAGATACAGGCGACTGTAGGCAAAATAAATTCCTTTTGTATTCAACTTACTTTCTTCATTCACCATCAACAACCTAGTGCTAAAACCACATACTTTTACAATATCCACTTAATTTGGGGTGTTGAAATACCTTTACAAGGGGTTTGTGCTTGTTCCACTTTGTTGTTCTTGATGTCTTGTACCACAGCATCTAACTCTCTAGTTTTCATGTAACTTCTGCCATCTGGTCTAAAGTAAATATTACAAGCCCCTCCTCTCATTGGAATCATTAGTTCTATAAAGTAGTTCTTCTCCTTCAGAATTGTCTTTTTGATGGAGTTGCTGTTAATCTACACATGCAAAGGAATGCTTATTTGAAATCCACCAAAGGTAAATATTATAACTAAAATACCTATGGATAAACAAATCAGAACTATCTACCTGGAAGGACTTCACTGGTCCAGTCCTATTACAGTTGATATAGAGATCAAGTTTCCATGACCCATCTTTACAGTGCAGAACCATAGTACCCTGTTTCCAGCTAGTAGTGCCAGACTCTAGCCCTGAGTATTTCAGCTCGCCAGTGGTTTCTATATGATATCCTGTCATTCTGTTTGAGTGAAGATTATAAATCATTCATTACATATATACACATGAAAATGGGGGGGGGGGGTGTTTTGTTAACATGATGCGACCTTCCAAGATATTAACAAGTTTTGATAAAATATGATGCTGTAACACTCAAACTGAGGACATTAATTATACGATTTGTCAAATCCACTGGACTCTATGGTCCTTCATCACAGTTGCAAACATTGCAGCTGGAGGGGGGGGGGGGGGGGGGGGCTTCTATCAGCACAATATAATCACAAACCTGTCGTCTGCCAAAAATGCATTTGATTACATATAAACCCATATCAGTACTCGTATTTATTTAAGTTTTTTTAAATACCAACTATCATTATCAATCCATGGGTTCTATCCGAAATTCCGATCCCACCGGAATAACTGACATGCAACAGGTTTTACACCGTGAATTCACAAACCTGTATTGATCAAGATCTTCACAAACATCACTAGTGAACCATATCAATCAATTTTCATCTATTAATTTCATGACTTTATATAATCTAAGTTATTTTTTCAATCTTTCTTTTTACTTTGTTTGTTGACAAAAACCGCTTACACGCGGGAAATCCTTACTTCCGCTTCGAAAACGTGCATAAAATTATGAATCGGATAAAAACGAAGAACAAGGTAAGGTTTCAATACAAATCTTGCCCTGTGTTTTCTTTAAAATGAAAGTGATGCAAAAAATTAAAACTCATGCTTTCTGAATCATTGAAATTTCATGTAGAAAGATCATACAAATCATTTTCTCACATGACCGTCTAAATGCTAATTGTGACATCTTGAACTTTTGCATTATTTCCCGTATTTTCTTAAAAAGTTGCAAAAGACACAAATTTTCAATGGAATTTTCTTCAGATAATATTACCAAATATTTTGAGATATGTGATTTTTCAAAGAATTTTACACAACATATCCGAAAATTAAAGTGGGCGACAGCTGTAAACACTGTTTTCTGAAGGAAAATAACCCTTGCAATATTGGTTATTTTAAGGCTTTTTCTGTTTAAAAACCTAAACTAAATAGAGAAATACATCAAATTAATGACTTCGTATTTCCAGAATGGTACTCTTTCATGCCATATTCTTTCCTGATTTATCACAGTCATATACTTAACTAAATATTTAAGTCAGTTTTAAAACTTTCTGAAAACATTAAATTTTTAGGGCACAATAAAGCTAAATCAGTACCTTATTCTTTTGTCAAAATTCGACCCAGCGATAAGCCGTATCATTACGTTATATTAACGACGCAGAGTTTGCCAAATGTTGAATTTAAACAAGACTGTAACAGCTCTGTAATATTACTTCTTAAACAGAACACAGAACACAGAACATGAATAGAAGATCCCCACACACAAAACAAACAAATAAATGAATAAATAAATAAATTAGTTATTTATTTGATTGATAATAAAAACCTTGGACACTCAGGAAAGACAGACCCCTTGGTAAGAAGAGTCATATGAAGGAATGCGTCTTGTTCATGAAAGTATCAACCCCCTGTGTCCGGTTCAGAGCTTTGGAATGATCTTCTAATAAATACAAAAGAATTTCATTTTCAAACTTAACAAACATGCTTAATACAAATTAACGCTTATTATAAATGCCCAAAATATTTTCTATCTAGTAAATGCAAAGAACAGATATTACACATATGACTTCGACTTAACTGTAGTCTGTAGCATATTTAATTCTCATTTATATTTGAATAACATATGATAAAGATATTCCAAATTACACTTGTGGTAAAATGTGGTAAAACCATTTTTACTTGAATGTCCTCTTTACAAAGATGTAAGTCAAAAAAGAAAAAAAAGACACATTGGCACTAACAACTGTTAGTCCTTTCTTCTTCTTCTTCTTCTTCTTCTTCTTCTTTTTAACATATTGAGATTGAACTCGGAAATTGTCCTTAATTTGTATAATGCTAATATTTTTAAACAAAGACACAATTTCATTTCACCTATAGGATTTTTCTCTCTGTTTGTATAGTGGCAGTTCGTCTTAATTTTAAATTGTTAAATTTGAAAATGACCTACTCTCTGACCGCTATATTTATATGTGTATATGTACTTGTAATATACAGTAAAACACGCTTATATCGAAGTGCCAGGGAGGAAAGATTATAAACATAATTCCGTTATTCGTTATATTTGTTCAGTGTACGATATATTTTAAAGCCACGAAGAATGAAAATCACTTCGCTGTAAGCATCAATTCACTATATGTGAGTTCGCTATATGCGTGTTTTACTGTATTAAGTTAGATTCGCCTATCTCTTGAAATATTTTTTCGGTTAAGACTGGGAAGTTCAATTTTTTTCAGTCATTTTTTTTCTTTCTTTCAATTATTATGGATATTAAAATTGCCATTCAACAATTCAAATGCATTTTTAAAATAAAGGATGACTGCACTTAAGGCCGGTTTTTTTCTTCTTTTTCGGTTGCTTCTGTTGCTTTTATATCTTAACATAATTTCTATATTGTATATCAATTGATTTGGTACCAAATTTAAAATGATTGTAAACTGTGATACAATAAAATTAAAAAAAAAAAACCAAACAGATAAATTGGTATTTTTTAAGGTAACCGTTGTATTTCGGTTTGCTTTGACTCTAAACAGATGAAAACTGCATTCCATAAGAAGAGACAATACGAGATATTCTTAAAGTAAATTTGAGATGTGTATCTCATTCATACTGACAGATTTACTATAAAAATGAACAATTAACAATAAGCATACTTCATGCACACATATAAATTACAGTATTTTGATTCATGTAGATGAGTAAATCATTTTTGTTCGTTTAATCCCCCCCCCCTTCCCCGTAGGTTTTGAAGTCAGTTTTTAGGTGATGTTTAACACAGAATTAATTTCAGCCAGCCTTATTTATATGACAAAAGTACACTATTATATAAATATTGCATGTAGTTGAGTGTTACATTGAAAATTTTCACCCCTCGAAAACCATTGTCAACCTCGGCTGCATCTCGGTTGACAATGGTTTTCGAGGGGTGAAAAATTTCAATGTTACACTCAACTAATGTAATATTTATTATATTATACTGAATGTTTCATAAAAATACATAAAACAGTGAACTTTGCGGGCATAAATTTTTGGAATATCACCCGTCGTCAAGCACTGTTGCTACGCTGGAGGGTGCAGCTTCATCATTCAGCGGGCAATAGTGTTTTTAACAAATATTTCTCAACGAATCAGATTCAACTAATTCACATGAAAGTATCATATTTACAAATGTTTCAAACGAAACTAACAATTTGTGTACGTCTATATGAAAGTAAAGAAGATCTTACATCGATGCCTGACAATTTAACGTGTTCGAACACAATACTACCTTACAAGTCACGTGACCATGCGCGGATCTAGATGGGTACCCCCCCCCCCCCCCGGAATTTGCAGAGTTATTAAATGTATATACAAAAACTGACCTTGGACCCCCCCCCCCCCTAGAAAACGCGGATTCTTGTTAAGTTGGTATTAAAAGTCATAGATATGAAGCTTTAGAAGTCAGCGACTACCCCCACCCCCACGAAATAGGTCTGTTTGTTTGTTTTGTTTTTTTGTTTTTGTTTTCTTTTTACTTGTCAAAAAATTTCTGGGTTGGATTTTTTTTTTTTACTGAGGTGGACCCCCCTCCCTCATAGAAAAAATTTCCGCGCCTGCGTGACGTATCCGCTACGCTCTTGAACACACCCTGAGGTAAGAAATCACAGCCCTTGGTGAGTGAATGTAAGAAGAAGCATTTTTTTCTTTTAACCATGAGCGCATGTTTGTTTATTAAATCTCCTCTTGACACAACATTATTTCTAATGCAAATATAACACGTTAGATACAACTACTCTTAGACGGAGAACAATAGACAAACATGCGCTGACTATGTATAAAAATTCCGCCTTTGTATTTCAGATAAAATCCAGAAAATTCATTTGCTTATTTTGGACCGACTTTATTCGTTCTAAATTTTGACCAATCAGGATATATGATACATTTTCTTCAACAAGAAAATGTATTCATTTCCGGTTTCCAAAAGAAGATAGATATTTTATATATTTCCAATTCAAGCTGCAGAAGAAGCAGATGATCTTTAAGTATGTAACTTTTGGTGTACTGGTTGATCTAAGAAAAGGCTTTTGCAGGAAAAGCTGAATGAGTGAACGATCTATGCCCTCGCTCTGCAGGTGCTCCATGATCAGCTGGGCAGACCCGGTCTGAAACACTTTAGAGTGATTGTGTTTTAAAAATTAAACGCATGGGCGTTTTAATGTTCGATGACATGAAAACAAATTTGTTAAGCTTTAGCAAGTAAAAATGGGAAATAAACACTCGTGTTGTGTTTATACACGTCCGTCCAAAGGTAGCAGAAAGCCTCAAGATGTGTATGGTTATGAGGAGCAGCCAGGGATAGATGTACATTTAACCCCTAACAACAGAAGCACCACCTCTCTTCCGGGAGTCCCACACATCAGTGACAGGGAAAACTATCCAGAAGGTAATTTTTGTCTGATTAATTAAGGGAATTATTTAATGACACTGGAGTAGGCAGGGCTGCTTTACAATATTTTTTTCTTCAAGGTAATGTGGTGCCTATGAGGCAGAATTTCCCCCTCCCCTCACAAGAGGTTCGGATCTTTAAGTTAATATATATTTTGTTTGTAACTTTGCAATTATATCTTAAATCTGTACTAAGAGGTTTATATATTTATTAGCCATATTCTCCACCAGACATGCATCATGAAAGTTTAGTATTTGAAAGTAATACCAGAATTGCTAGATTTTTAAACTCTCTCAGCAAAATCTGACATATATCAAAACTGTTATCAAAAAGGATTGTATTTTTAGTTGGTGTGAACATTTAGTGCCTTTTTTTTTCTAAACTGTAGAAACTTTTATGGTAATCCAAGAATCAGAAATGCACTTTATATATCACGACATGTTTTCACAAGGGCAGTGCTGGCACTCCCAAATGTTAATAAGGCATTTACTGTAAATCATAATACTAATCTTAATTGACATAAAAAAAGTTAATTCATCAATTTCTTCATTGAATTTATTTATTTACAGTATAACAATATAGATATATCTAGCACTTTTTTTTAAAACAGAAAAATAGTTAATACTTATTATAGGAAGTTCAAGTGTTATTCTTGGCACATCAGATGACTTTCATGACAGTACATCTATTTAAGCATTGATTTAATATTTTTGGATGTTGTCGGTAGTATAATAGCACCAGGCCATGTGGATAAATTGAATACCGTGCATTGTGATGATTTGTTGGCATAGTCAGGTGCTGCTATATGACTAACAACATCCACATATATAATAATTCAATGCTTAGCCTTACATGTACATTCTTGCTTTCTCTGTTTATAAATGTTAATTTTCATTCATCTTTTTTCTTTTTTTTTTAAATAAAATGAAGCACCTTTTAGAACTGGATTGGGTAATAGATGGAAGAGCTGTTTTGAATATCATGAATATTACGAGGAAGAAAAAGAACAATTTTTAAACACAAAATTCTTGTAGTTTTACACAAATTTAACAGGGTAATTATTTTCAGTTTAATTGAGCAAATACAATATGCATTGTGTTCCAAATTATTGAAAACTTATGTACAAGGTAGTTCCTGTTGTGTATTCTTGTGTCTTGACAAGGTTAAGAGTGTGTTCATAAGCAATTGAACGTTTTAGATTTCCAATGGATTTCAACAGAAAAATACTCTTGAATGTAAATTTATGCTGGTAATATCGGTATTTGATAACCAGAATAAAAGAGGAAAAAAAAAAACATGCATTGCTTTTGAAAATCTTTATGGCATTTTTTAGCTGCTTATTAAGAAGTTTTTTGAAACGGAAATTCTGTCATTCTTTTTAGATATAATAATCAGTACTTTTACTACAGTTATATCATTTCAAGATGTGTCCAGATCTATTTTTAACATCTCCAAAATAACAAATATGTTGAAAAAATAATGACTGTTAAAGTGTGTGAAATGGGATGGGAAAGATGGTTTACTACGATGTATCAAGTACTTTCTTGTCAGATTACTGGTAAAAATGTGCAGTTGCCATATATTTGCATATTTATGTTTATAATTACCCAAATTAGTAAATGGAAAATGGAAGGAAAAAAACCTTTAACCTTGAGAGTTATTTTTATGATACTAGCATAATGTTAATCCTGAATAAAAAGATATTGTTAAGCAAACAGATATTTTCAAAAAAAAAAATGTCTTTCAATAGCATACTGAATGGAACCTTTAACACATTAATTTACAGTACATGTATTTGGAACACTTTGGCGTTTTGGGTGAATATTGTGGTGAATAAGCCTCAGTTTGTCAGTACAGCAGTAGATATAATGTTTTGTCTTTAATCCACAGTTGAATTAATCTATTTCAGATGTAAAGGAGGATCCTACATCAGATCCCAGTTTAAGGCCGCTGTTTCCATCTAGATCACAGAGCGAAATAAGCAAGAGTAAGTCTTTATCTTCAAACCATGCTTTAAGCTTATCCAATCAGCCCAATTTTGTTTTCAGGTCCTTGATTGAAATTAATACCCTGCTTCCCATAGGCTTCTAATGGTGGTTTCCTCAAGTATATAAATTAATATGTTTTCTTTCAATACATTTTATTTTGAATATGATTTGTTAAAACACAAGGAGTGCAGAAGTATTTTATTAAAATACTATTTAATTGTGATTTCAAATAGAAATAAGATACAATACTTTAGTATTTTATAGATGCTCGCTTAATAGCAAATTGTTGAACAAACCATTTATTATGATGTTTGATTCTCAAAACCATTGTGAGAGTGTGCTGTAAAAATATATGATATAGTAATGGGTAAATGAAGATGTAAATCAGATATTGCTGATACAGACATTACGACATAAAACCCTTCGATCAGTAAAGTTGGAGTATACATGTACTGTATATATGAAAAGAAGGTTAATTAATAATAAATAAAATTTATTGTGGAATTTCATACCAGTAATTTTTTTTTATTTTTTCATCTAAATATGATCAAAGCAGTGGTGTTATAAGAGAATGAAATTTCTTTCTAAATTTTAAAATAATTTTTTTTTTCATTTTTAATAAGTTATTTTACCATGAAATATAAATTGTTAAACATGTTTGGTGATTGATTATTTATTGCTGATAGCATCTTTTGTTAACAAATGTATGGATATTTTTGTTTGGCTTTTTTTTTCTCCTAGGGTAATTGAATCATTTTCTCTTTGTTTTAGATGTTAGGCACAGATCTAGATCAAAAAGTATGGTATCATTAAGGACATTTTTCATCATATACTAATGTTTACTGTATTTATTTGAGTTTGTTGCATGTGTTAACCACTTCTTTCTTTTTTGTTTGCACTTATAAAAGCATTTGAGAGTCCAACACATTCTGTAATGCTGATTTCACAGTTTTCTTTCATTCATAGTGAATTTTTTGATTTCTCACAAACATACTGTATTTATTGTTTGTTATTTAATTAAATCCAACTCAATTAAGCCAAGTCTATTTTGTATTTCCTAATATTCCAATGTTGTTTTTTTCCCCTTCAAAAATTAGAAAATTATGCAGTTATTTTTTGTACAAAAACTTCATAGTATTAATGAAACAATGAATAAATTATTATGAATTACTAATAGGCAATTAATACTTTTATCGAACAAATAAAACTCTCTGTAGATTACAGATTTGCGTAAAATTGATTTTTGCATCTGACAATACAGCTGACAAAAGATTTTTATGCATGATGAAAATATTTGAAAGAAAAAATCACAGAAACATTGATGGAGGAAATTAAGAATACTAAAAATATGTATCTAAAATTTCACTCCTTTGATGCACAGAGTTCATATACTTTGGGAAATTTCAAGTAATTAAATGCTCATGTTTTCATTTATCCTGAAATTCAGTTATTTTGAATCCTTTTTTGTAGACAACAAGAACAGAAGGAAGTCTCATTATGATAACAGAGTGTTACAAATACAGGTAAAGTGAAAGTAACAGAACATGTGTAGTTTATGATAACAGAGTGTTACAGATACAGGTAAAGTGAAAGTAACAGAACATGTGTAGTTTATGACAACAGAGTGTTACAGATACAGGTAAAGTGAAAGTAACAGAACATATGAAAGTTAAAGTATGATAACAGAGTGTTAATAAGACAAGTTAAAGTGAAAGTATTAATAGGAAAAAGTGAAAGTAATAATGATACCAGAGTATTACCATTCTAGCCAGTGGAAAGTTACACTGTGTGATGACAAAGTTACAGTGTGTGATGACATAATAAAGTGTACATAGTAAATTGGCTAAACCACAACAGAAAACGTGCATAGAATTGGCCTGCTCTCTCTAACATGAATGATAGATTCTTGAAGTTCTATAAACCTGTCATTTCAGCAGGGTTTTTTGTTCATCCTTTTTTTAACTAAGCATATTTATAATTGCACCTTCCTATGGAGATTGTTATTGTTAATTGTAATTTACAGAATACGCCAGTACTGCGAAAGTACAGCTCTTGTTCAACAATATTTATTGATGATTCCACTGTCAGTCAACCAAACCTCAAAAACACAATAAAAGCCGTGGCCTTCGCCATTTACTTTCATATACGAAACCGAGAGAGTAACAGAACATTGGAGATCTTTGATGAGAGACTTCACCCTTTGTCTGTAAGAACACAAGCTAATTACAAGATAATTATTTAAGTGAATGTGGAAAACGATTCTGACCATTTGTTATGCTTTCCTGTTAGTCACTCTGCTTATAACTCATTGAATTTAAAAGCTCACCTGATGTACAAATTAGTTTTCTTTTCTACTGCAGCGAGACCAAGTGCCAGAAGATTATGACCGACGAGACCCGGAACATAAACATATTTATAGATTTGTTCGGACTCTATTTAGTGCAGCTCAGCTGACTGCAGAATGTGCAATAGTTACCCTGGTAATTCTGCTAGCTATATATGTAAATGTATACACTTTAAAAGTAACAGACTGCTATTTCATCTTGGATGCTAAAATTTCAAATCTGTAAGGGTACCTACTGACTGGGAAATCATTATTAAGTAATTTTGTCGTCTGAATACAAACAGCTATGAATTGTTCATTGTTTGAGCTTTGAGTCTTTTTCTTGTAGGTATACTTGGAGAGGTTACTTCATTATGCAGAAATTGATATTATGCCTGCGAACTGGAAGCGTATTGTCTTGGGTGCCATACTCCTGGCGTCCAAGGTGTGGGATGACCAAGCAGTGTGGAATGTAGACTACTGCCAGATCCTCAAGGACATTGCTGTGGAGGACATGTGAGGCTTTATTACACTACAGTAAATTGTAATGTCAGAGGACATGTGAGACTTTATTACACTACAGTAAATTATAATGTCAGAGGACATGTGAGACTTTAGTACACTACAGTAAATTGTAATGTCAGAGGACATGTGAGACTTTAGTACACTACAGTAAATTGTAATGTCAGAGGACATGTGAGACTTTAGTACACTACAGTAAATTATAATGTCAGAGGACATGTGAGACTTTAGTACACTACAGTAAATTGTAATGTCAGAGGACATGTGAGACTTTATTATACTAGTAATACTACAGTAAATTGTAATGTCAAAGACTGAGATACATTATACATTTCAAAGTCAAAAGCTTTGATACAATGCAGCATCAGTAGCAATAATTCTGAGATTCCAGCATATGAAAATGGGATGTCTTTCAAATAATGTACATCTAGATATTTTTATTCATGAAAAATCATGTCAAGGCAAACTTTTATGCCCCCGTGATTGAAGATTATGGGACATATAGTTTTGGTCTATACATCTGTCTGTCTGCAGAGACTTTAACTAGGGATGGGACGATATAACTTTTTTCTATATTGATAGTATCACAATATTTGATCAACAATGTGATATGTATCATAATATTTTGAATTGGTTATAATATCCTCTTTTTGTATTAAAATGAACAAAATATTTCTTCACAAATAAGAATAATTTATTCAAAGAAGCTGTATATTTGTAAAAAACACAAGTGGTGTTAATTATTAAGTTTTTCATATTTATATTAAGCATATTTATTTATACATGTACATGTATATTAAACCCAAAATGTTAAGTACAATAAACAAAGAAAAAATAAGTCAGAAATTTTTTTTGCGATATTTCGATATTTCTACATACGAGGGTTGTCCCAAAATTCCGTAAACAAGCGTCGTTTTGTAGTAACCCAGTGTTATAAATTTATGAAACTTTGAAAATTAAAAAAACCTACTAAATACTAATAATTTTAACATAAAACATTGGATAATTACACAGATTTATGCTATTTACACGAAAATTTCAATGTCTGGTGTAGAGAGGCGGCGCAGTCCCAAAATTTGCTATTAAGAATCGGTATATGAAATTTAAAATATTGCATAAAAGTAATTTCTAGTCAAAATTTTACCAAAATAAAATGATACTTTCTCAAATGAAATAAACAACTACCTTTATTCCAATTTTATCGCAAATGCCTTTAGTAATAAGAATTTTATAATGTTTATTTGCACTGGTTTGGCACTTGACTATTTAAAAAAAGAATAACGTTGCATTGACAGAGGTGACGCAGTGGAGTATGAAAAAAATGTAGTTCAGAACTTGAATTTACTCCAACAGAGATGCATTTGAAGACACAATTGTAAGGATGGAACTGATAAATATATTCAAATTTGTTGTGTTTGAATGATATAAGCAGTTTTTCAAGGTATATGTGAAAAGACGGACACCAGCCAAAAGAAGTATTACATAAATCGTCGTCAAAGCAACACAGTGCAACTCCATTCAGAAGGACGGACAAAAAGTCCCTCAGAGATGCAGGAGAATATTATGAAATATAAGTGGATGCATATAATTTTAACATTTTTTCGGTATATTTTAATGTTAAACATATCATAATAATTATAATATTTCTTATTTAAAACTTCAACCTTTTTTGATAAAGTAGAACATGTTATTCTGATAAGTGCATTTCCCCCAAAAATCCGTAGCGTTGACATACATTTACGTATATTTTGACGTTGGAGATTGCACCGGGTAGTAGGACACAGTAACATTAAAATTCTAATTACTCTTACGTTTTTCAAGTAATCATGTTAAAACTTCGTTATACATCAGCTAAAAGTACACTTTAAACACCCACAAAATAATATAAAGATACGTTAATTTTAGCAATAGATATGAGCTCAGTCTATGGAATTTTGGGACAACCCTCGTACGTATTGATATGCGTATTGTCATCACACAGAATCAATATTATTGATATATTGTCCCATTCCTAACTTTAACCTTGCCCATAACTTTTGAAAAGTTATTGATAGGGCTTTCCTAATTCACATGTATATTCTCTGTGTCAAGACATTTGTTAGGATACCAACATTTTTTACCTTGACCTTGGAGATTGACCTACCCGTACATTTGAAAAACTTTAACTTTGGCAATGAGAAGTCATACAGGAGCATCAGTGATTCACAGAGCAATTTTTTTTACAGGAATGATCTTGAAAGACAGTACCTAGAAATGTTACAGTTCAACATTAATGTGGGATCAAGTGTGTATGCCAAGTACTACTTTGACCTGAGGGCACTTGCTGATGCCAATGATCTTAGCTTCCCACTAGAACCACTCAGTAAAGACCGAGCCCTCAAACTAGAGGTAAACCTAGGTCTTATAATGAAAATATTTCATATATATACTATTAAATTATAACCATGCCAACTTTGTCTTGTGTTGTTGTACTATATTATTGTGTGTTCTTATCTGAATTCAATTTTTTATGCCCCCGGATCGAAAGATCCCAAGGGTATATTGTTTTTGTCCTATCTGTCTGTTTGTCTGTCTGTCTGTTGTCAACTTTAACCTTGCTCATAACTTTTGATTGGTTGGAGCTATGACTTTCATATTTCACATGTGTATTCCTTGTGACAAGACCTTTCTTTGGGTAGCATCATATTTGACCTTTTGACCTTGACCTTGGAGTTTGACCCACTTTTGCAAAATTTTATGAGACTTTAACCTTGGCCATAACTTCTGAACAGTTGGTGCTTGGGGTTTCAAAATTCACAAGTGTATTCCTTGTGACAAGACCTTCCTCTGGATATCAACCTCTTTGACCCTTTGACCTTGAACTTTGACCCACTTTTGAAAAACTTTAACCTTGGCCATAACTTTTGAACGGTTGGAGCTAGGGCTTTTATACTTCACATATGTAATCTTTGTGACAAGACCTTCCTTTGGATACCAACCACTTTGACCCTTTGACCTTGACATAGAAGTTTGACCTACTTTTGAAAAACTTTAACCATGGCCATAACTTTTGAACAGTTGCAGCTAGGGCTTTCATACTTCACAGATGTATACCAACAATTTTTACCCTTGACCTTGACATTTTACTCACTTTTAAAAAACTTTAACCTTTGCCTTAACTTTTGACAGTTGCAGCTAGGGCTTTCAAATTTCACAGGTACATTCCTCGAGACAAGACCTTTCTTTGGGTACCAACATTTTTTATCTTTTGGCCTGGATTTTGACTTGCATTTGAAAAAATTTAACCTTTGCCATAAGCTGCCATACGGGGGCATCAGTGTTTCACACACACATCTTGTTTTGTCATGGTTTTTAAACTCAAAGTAACCAGCTGAAATTTGAAAGGGGGGGGGCTGAGTCTGTTGGTATGTTCAATCTGAATATCAAGCATAATATTAAGAAGGTCATTTTGTGGCATTATTTAAAAGGATATCCAAACCAAACCTAATTGTATGGTGCATCTGTAGAAGTTCGATCTGAGCTAGGTTTCAGATCCATTTTAGTTAGGACAATTATACTTTTATTTCAAGGGATGAGTTACAAAAAAGTATTTCTGCCATTCAGTAGGGATTCTTTGTTATCAAAATATTAAGCAATAACCTGAGAGATCAGAAACCTTGAAATGGAGAGTAAAAGAATATTAATTTACATACTCTATAAAGTATGTTGCCTTTTTGCCAATGTGAGTGTTTTATACATAATTAATAATACATACATGTAAAAATGTACGCAAAAGAACAAAACTGTTTTTTGGAGATATGAAATTGAATTCATGTTTTTATACTTGTTTCTTTAATATTTGTATTTCTCATGGAATCCTACTGAAATATCAACATTTTTTTTCCCCTCACAGGCGATGTCTAATGAAGATGGTATAGAGAGGATCAACCAAAAACCGACCCTGGTTCGTTCCAACAGTTTAGATGGCATGACAGCCAACCCACGATTAAGTGTCGCTATAATCTCATAACCGCAGTAGTCAAGCTTAACAAGCACAACGAATATGTAACAAATCTTTTCATTTAAGTTACAGAAGTATGAGCTTTTGGAATAATTGTGCAATAGTTTTGGAAATTTCTACATTGCTCATGTGATAAAGATTCAAGTTTAAATTTCCATTTATTAAATTTTACAGTGTAAACAGTGAAATCTCCTATATTTACCCCCTAATCAGTAGAAGTCATTTTTTCTCTAAACAGTATAATGATCCCAGTTTTAAGAGAGAAAAGGAAAAAAATGGTAAAAAATGGTAAAGATGCCTTTTTTATACACATGGTATTTCGCTCTTTAGAAAGCATAATGGTGTGCATAGGTTCCGTCTTATTTGGTTGACGGTAAAATTTTGATAATTCTACTCTTCTGATAAAAGTATTCTATCCAAAAAAAATTTTTTTTGTTAGCATTCTTGCTCAAACTAGGTTCAGCCTAACATCTATACTTCATAAAGTACACCACGAAATACATGTATGATAATCCAGGTACACAAGTATTGAAGGTGTTCTGAAGATTTTATGTGATAATGTACAATGTAAATCAAAGTCCCATGAATCAAATTCTGGAGATTTTTTTTGTGCTATGTACCATAAAGTTGTAGAGTTTATGTAGCTATATTCCTTCTCCCAACTTTGATAGTTTTTAAAACAAATTGCATCAACATTGATCATTAATGTTCAGCAGAAAAAGACTCTTTTGATTTCTAGAACAAAATTCTATGATTTAGACAACATTAATAAATGCTACTAAAATAGGCCGATTTATGGTTCATACAAATGTAGTAGATTTTATTTTCAGAATTGGTGCTGATTATGTGCTATAATTTATTGATTGGGATTTGTGTAACAAAATCCTCTTCCCAATTTACAAAATAAAACCAGGTCTCCATTTCATTGATACGTATAACTAGTAAATATAACAGTAATCACAATCTCAGAAGATCTCATCTGAATCAAAAACATTCATCGTAAAACCACAGAATAGTAAGTATAGGAAATAATCGTACAAATGTTTGTCGTGGTTTGTCTATATCCTGTATGTACCTAATGAACTCTGTCTTAAAAGGAAAGGCAGGTCTGCATAATCCTGTTGGAGTTAAATCAAGAGAAAATATTTCTTTTGTAAGAATCTCATGAACACATGATCTTATTATAAAGCCTGTGTTGGATGCTCTGTTTTGTGTCCCTGTCTGTCAGTAACTACAAAAGGAAAACCATTCATCATTTCGTGTGTCAGCCATGAATATTAAATCAGGTTAAATGGTTGTGATCATTTCATTGCTGCAAGGTAAATCAAACTCTTTGTAAATTTGACAGAGAAGTTAAATGTCTCTCGTTACCGAGTCTTTAATTCTGTCTTCCTGCAGTTCCTTTAAAAATAGAAATTGTAAAATTATTAGTCTTGTTTTGTTTCAACGTAATTCGAATACATGTATATTCTATTCAGATTAATCTAGTGATAGATAGAGATGATAGAAAAAGAAACTCTGCAAAGATTTTTTTAACTAAAAAAAAAAATTGTTCCCATGCAGACTTATTGAACCAGTTATTACTACACTGTAATTCTGTTTATAGTTGAAGGAGAGTGCTTCATAAGTTTGTGTTTAATACAATCTTGTAAATGTTTCATGTTGTCTTTCAAACTATAACTTTTTATGTCTTTGTAAAGTTATACTGCAGACGTGTTAGAATGCTCTTATAGACCTAATCTGTGATTAATAATGTATAAAGCATGTCATTTTTTACAATTGATTATACAGTAGTGGTTAGTATAGTGAAGGATCCAGAGCTTTGGTCAGTTTTTTAACGGTACAGATCGTCACAAGCTAGTCATTTGTTTCATGTCAATACAGATCTCGGTCTGTATTTTACTGATGTAGAGTATCTGGTATTTATTTTAACAATCATAATGTATTGATCATATCTCTACCACCTATTTAATTTAATACCTAAAACTAATTCATGTATTTTTTTTTTTTTTGAGTGATTTTTCCATCAGTATTAATGCCGAACAAATTGTACATTTTAGATTGATATTACTGTGTGTTCTGTTTTTGAAGAGAATTCTTTTTTCATTGATAGCTTTTTGTATATGAAGGGTCCAAGTTGTCACATGTGCTCTACTGCACTAAAACGGTCAAAATTAGAAACTTTTGGAATTGGAATAAATGCCATAGAAATGTCATAGGTGTTCTCATTTAATTCAAAGAATGGAATTCTTACAGGTTTGCAAACAAAGATAAAATATAGTTTCTGATGAATCACTTTAGATAAAGATGGAACCTTTTTATTTCGGTTTGTACAAATTGTAAAACAATACTTGTTTTATAAGAATTGGCCTCGAGGTGATTTAGGCAAGAGTTATTTCCCTGTGGCCGCCATATTGTAGGTCAACATCCCCAGATCCCTTCATTATTCAACCAAGTTCAATTTGTTATACTGGGCACTGAGGTTAATTAGATAACACTGTTTTTCTTATGAATATATGTTTGTTAAAGCTTCTTTTAATTCATAATTTCTATATTGTAAATATTTTTTCCCATATATTTCTGGCATGCATGTTTAAAATTGGTTTCTGAAAGAGGAAAATTCACTACTTTGACCTACAAGATGGCGGCCAAGGGGAATAACTCTGAGGCAAAAACTATCTATTACAGGTTATAGTTGCATGTAAAAATTGAGGACAAAATGAGAGATTAAGATGATTATTGAAAAGCAAGTTTAAGATTATTTTGTGATCATTAAGAGGAGAACACATATTTGAAATAAACCCAAGTCTAGTATTTTTTTTCTGTAAACTTTATATTTTCCTTCTTGTAAAATACTGTATGCAGGGAAATTTTAGCCACTGTTTTATTTTCAGCCCTTTTGTGCTCATCACAAGGCAAATTTTCAATGGGAAAAATTCAAAGAGAACAGCAATATTTATTTAACCCATTTGTTTCTTGGTGAATTTAAGACTGGGCAAAATTTTGTTTGGAAGTGTGAAAGGGCAAAAATAACCCCTATATACAGAAAATTGTACAATTAAATCAAATCTTTAAAGCATTTCTTCCACATTAATTTTTTTCCCTTTTTTGGAGAGGTTTATTCTGCATATTTATAGGTCAGATTTATGGTGCATTTTACACAGACTGCTCTCTTCATGTTTATGTGCACCTCTGGAAAGTCTTTTTTTGGTGTAAATTCTAGTAATTATCATACAAGTGAATGATGTACGTTATGTATTAGTAAAGATGATGAAGGCATTTTGTACAACTGTATGAAAGTCATGATTATACATTAAATTTTCAGTTTCTAATTGTGGAACAATATTGTATATCATTTTATTTGTTGAATTATCTGTGCTTTTATTTGTAGGGCTGCTTGCCATTGTCATTAAAAGGGAATTATTAGTAAATTATGTCTTCTTATATATTTGCAGTGGGCAGCTAGGGTTTACAATAGCACTGGACAAGCAATAACTTAAAATCTTCCTCACTGTGTTGATGTCTAAAATGATATTCTCTTCCTAAATATAAAAAAGAAGTCTTTGATAAGAGGAGCTTACTTTAGGTAAAATATTATAATCCTAAATAATGTATTTTGTCTTGAGGTTAATTTTTTGGTAACATTTTGTATACACTGGTACAGTGTTCTTCATCTTCCATTTTATATCAGAGCTACTTTACATCAATAATTACATAATTAAAGTGAGTAATCCAATACCTCAAGACAACAAAGATTAATATTTGATATTGCTTGTCCTCACCTAAACGGAACAGTTTTGTATTCACCAAAGACTTGAAATATAGATTGTGGTGCACTGTTTTTTCATAAAGTAAATCTGATGGATGTAATTTTTAGGGGGGTGGGGGTTGGTGTCCTAAATGAAAATATCGAAAATGAAACATACTTAGTGAAAGAATTCAAAAGTAAAATTGAATATTGTACAAACAGTGGAGTAAAAAAACTGTTGGCATTTCATTCCTTTACGAATTGTACAGCATTGCATGCATTTCACAGCAATTATAAACATATATGTAATTAAGGAATGCATTTCACCTCAGAAAATAGCAACTAGTGGAGAGTAGGGTAACTATTTCTCATTTCATGTTACATAAATTATATATTAAAGTCATATATGGCGTATTTTTGATAAGTTCAGATTAACTAGAATTAAAAAGATCTTTCTATTTGTTTTATTACTTTGTATAAAGATAGGACTTTCTTGTAAATTACACAATTTAAATCAATCGCATTTCATAGATATTAGAAATTTAAAACAATAACGGATTTATTTACCGACTCAGCATTTAAATATCAGACACAGTTTAAAGTCAATTTAACAATAGAAACATGGGGTTATTCAAGTTCAGCGTAAATAAGAAGTATCATGTTCATCTACACTCAATCTCGATTTTTATTTTTTAGCTCAGGTACGTCATATATAGCTTTAATGTAATTTAACTACAAAATACAGAAACTTGCTCAAATTTCATGCTTTTTGAACAGCTCTTTTTGTAAGCTGACGTGAGCTGAAAGCTCATGTGAACTTTTCTGTGTCTGCTGTCCGACCATCTGTAAGCTTTTCACATTTTTAACTTCCTTTTCAACGACCATAGAACCAATTTTAATTAAGCAACCTTGGGTATTAATAGATACTATCTGTTCAAATGAAGGGTCAATCCCCTTTCCAAGGGGAGATAATCAAGAAAAGGCAAAAAGAAGTGGAGTCATACAAAAAAATTGATGAAGAACCACTGGACCAGAAAAGATAAAACTTGTGTGAAAGGTTCCTGAGGTAGTGTAGATTCTAAATTGTTCAAGTCATAGCCCCCAGGGGGTAGGGTATGGCCACAATAGGGGATCAAAGTTTTACATAAGAATATATAGAAAGAAATCTTTTAAAAATCTTCTTATGAACAATTGTAACCCCCCCCCCCCCAAAAAAAAAAATGAAATTTATGTGAAAGAATTGTGGTAATTGTTCAAATTACATTTGCTTTACATTTAAATATTCAGAAAAATTCTTTTAAAATCTTATGAACCAATAACTGGACCAGAAAAGATGAAACATAAGAAAACATTCTGAGGTTGTATAGATTCTAAATTGTTCAAATCATGGCCTCCGGAGGTAGGGAGGGGCCATGATGGGATATCTAGGTTTTACGTGGGCTTATATAGAAAAAAAAACCTCTTGAACCGCTTGATCAGAAAATATGAACATTATGTGAAACCTTGATGTAGCGTAGATTCTTATTCAAATCATGTCCGTCCTCTCCTTAGTAGGGTGGGGCTACAATAGGGAAACAATGTTTTACATTGAAATATATTAGTAAAATATCTTTAATGATTTATGTAAAGAAAACAAGCAGTGATCGATCTCAAAAACATGCAAACAACTCTGTAAACAAGGCATAAAACACGGATCCCTGGAAATTCTAGAGGTTAGATCAGATGCCTAAGAGAAATAAGAATCCACTGTCGACCGGTCACACCCACTGTGAGCCCTATGTATTGATAAGGTTGATGGAGTAATACATAGTCAAATTTAGTATAAAAACAAAGGCAAATGAATTGGTATAAAATATGCGGTCAAAATACTTTCTTTCCATGTAGAAGTTATTGAATAAATTCTGCTTCATAGGAATATAAAAACAGATAGGCTAATAAAGGAGCACAATTAGTGTCCATTGCACTTCCGACAGATTATTGGAAGACCTGTTCACTTCTCCAAAGACTACATAGATGTTATCAATGAAGAACTCCAACATCCTTTAATATAAATCTCAGAGTACTTGTGTGTAAAATCAGAGTGATTTTTTTTTTACAAAGTAATTTTGTAGATGACCAATCTCAAGATAATTTTTTTATTGAAGAAGCATTCGTTTATGATATCAAAATTTATCGTTAAGAAACTACAAAGTGCAGAAAACTCGTACGTTTTGATGTTACAGACTTTTGAAAAAAATTGTGATTTTAAATTATCTTTAATTTCTTTGGAGTTTTTGAGGATCTGCATTTGATTTACATCACTTCTCGAATATGCTGTAGCGCAGTAGGTCTGAGGTTTCACCTTTACAACAGGTAATATTTTTGTGAAGAGTAAAGATAGGGGTTTGGTACAGCAGTTGCTGGACCCGGCAATGTATCTTTGTAAAGATTTTTATGAAGTTTAGGAATCCAGTATAGGTAGGGTAGATCGAAAAATTTCGTTGACTGGACTGTTAAAAGTTTTAATAATTTTAATGTGATTTTGAAGAATTTCACTTTTAGGAAGTGATTTCACTTTTAGGAAGTGAATTGTGAGTATAAATTTGATTTCCAGATGTAGAATTAAAACCAAGTTTTAAAAAAAAAAAATACACTTGTAATATTGAATCTTACAAACAAAGATGTAATTGTTGCTAGCCATGTCTGCTGGAATCATAAAATATACCTGTACATGTACGTAGTTTTTCTAATAAAAATTACCACTTCCGATTTAGTGAAAGGATACATGGTTTGCATTTTCTTTCTAATTCTTCAATATAATTCACGCTTAATCTATTTTGAAAGAGTTCATGTCTTCCCCTTCATATTTTGTCCATCATCTATTCTTCGACAGATTTCCTAATAGAATCAAATTTCTGTCACAAAATTGAAAATCGGATCCTTCCTGTATTTAAGACCTTTGAAAATCAATTGCTAAATTTTCAACTATATATACATCGCCGGTAATGACAAAGAAAGAGCAAGAACAAGTAAGAGGAGTTTGTTTTAGTTGTTCAGTATCTAGGCACTGTAAGGTTTGTTTATAATTGAAAAGTTTGGAAGAAACTGTTAGGGGAATATCTGTAGAGAATGAAGGGTGTAGACTTCAATTCAAAAATAAGGTGGAATGCAAGACTGAACTTTTTATGATTAAGAATGTTACTAATGTTCACAGCATCTATTCCTTTAAGTTAAGCAAATTGAAAGTGGGGTGGCTAATTGAAAGGGGGGGGGGGGCTAAACCAACGAAAAAAGGTAAGCCCCAATTTTCAATGCCTATATTATGTCTATCTTTGCAAAAAAAAGGGGGAGCTAAGCCCCCCCCCCCCGCTTCAGATGCAGAATCCAAATATATGGACTTGCTTTAGCTTCTTGAAATAAATACTATTTATAGTATTCTTCTTAGAACCAATGGGCCAGAAAAGATGAAATAAGATGAAAGATTCATGTATAAAATTCATGATAATTTAGTTCCTGATTATCTATGTGAGATTATACCTGAAATGCGATGTAACGCTTCCGCGTATACAAGAAATTCTCAAAATTATAATATACCCGTTTGTAGACTGCAAACATACAAATCATCATTTGTACCAACTTTTGAAAAAGGAGTGGAATTTTTTTATCGCTAGATACCAGACTTTCGAGCTCCTTGTCTGCTTCTAAAAGTAAAATCACACAAAAAATAACAGTAGTCCCGCCTTATTTCAGTTTTGGAAAAAGACGCTACAATATACTGCACATTAGTAGACTTCGACACAATTGTGTGCTAAACGTTGATCTTTATAGGTGTAACATAATATCTATAGTCCATTATGCTCTTGTGGTAAGGTAGAAGACACACATTATTATTTTTTCTCATGTCCTAATTACACTGAGGCCAGGAAAGATTTCTTCGATAAGTTCTTGAGATTTAATAAGTTCATATTGTTGACACTCATACATTACTCTGGGGGTATACTTCACTCAGTATTGCTGAAAATGAATATCTCTTTTCTATTGTTAATTCTTATATTAAGCATTCTGGCAGATTTAATTGATTGTTCTTAAAATGTGTATAGACAATAATTTAGCAGTATATGTTTCTATGTTGTGAGTTAATTTACTCTGTACATACTGTTGGACACGTCTAATTCAATTTTCTGTGATACTACATGTAGGGAGAGGGCAAATTAAGTTTTGTGCCCAATCCCATTATTTATTGCAATAAAATATGTTCAAGTCGAAAGATGAAAGCAATGTGAAAGTATCCTGTGGTTAAATGTAGATTATAAATTTTAAATTAATTATTCAAATCATGAACCTTTCAAGAAGGGTGGGGCCACAAAAGGGGATCAATTATACATTGAACTATACATTTATAAATACATTGTTATACATAGTCCGAAATATCTGACGTTTTCCAGGCTTTTTTCACGCTTTTGATATTTTACGTGCCAGGAAAAACGTCAGAACCGGCGCCATTACGAAAACTGGGAATTCGCCGCCTCCAACCAGAGGCGGCATTCTCGGGTTGATTTTCGATACTTGCAAAGCGAATGAAATGTCAAACTCACAATATATCAATAGTACAATGCTTTTAGTACTCACCAACATCGTTTTTATGGTTTGTTTATAAAATATACAATCCGATGAAAACATTTTATCTGACTGTCGAGATTTGTT